TTTTTTTTTTTTTTTTTTGCCTATACTTTGGAGCTATGTTTAGTGTAGTTTATGTAACACTGCTCATTGATTATATTCGCGACCTTGCAGGTTTTTGTCACTAGTTGTCGTGGCGATGCGCCCGCTATCCAGCTTGGTAACATTGCATGGCCCCCCGTGTTTTACGCAATAACTGCCAGATGGCGCAGAAAAAAAAAAGGATTGACACATGCGTCGAAGGCGTCGAAAGACTTTGTGCACGACAGCGCAAATGCAGGGCGACATTGCAGGGCGACGGCGTAGTATTTGACTTTTGTACCACTGTTGTCCAAAGGGACTAATACGTTGCTGCTGCTGCTTCGCCGACGGGGCGGCTAGTGTTTCTCCGTATCACGATTATGGGTAGGACAGCTGTGGCTTTTTTGGGCTTTTTCTTTTTTGAGTCGCGAAGAGCGAGGAAAATATAAAAATATATAAAAATATATAAATAAATAAAAGATTTTGCTGAAACGGGGACCCGGTCAGCTGAAAAAAGTTTTGGTCGTGTAACAGCGGCAACTCGGCCCATCGTGGCCACATGACTTGGTGCAAGGGCAACTTGTTTTTCTTCTTCACAACCGGCTTCTTTTACTTGATAAGTTGAACTATTTGAGCTGTGCAGGCGGAGCGCGCGCCCCCCCGCACGAGTCATGGGTATGTAGTTGTGTGAATAAAAATAAATCGTTGCAGGACGCCAAAAGGCAGAAGGGGTTAATTATTATTATTAGTTTTTAAGAAGGGTTGCAGTTATTAATGAGTCGGTGGCAGATAATGACATGCTAGAGGGAGACCGGCCGGCGCAGGTCCTTTTGTTCTCAAGACGGGATGGGCCCCGGAGCGTAACTCCAGCAGCAAATGGTCAGCAGAGCCCAAGTTGATGGACCAGCTGATTGGGGGAAAGGTGATTGTGATTGATGATGGGCAAGTTTGCGATGGCGTTTGCTGTGGTGTGGCTGCTCTAGCGTCCTACCTAATCACGGTGTGGGATGAAAAAAGGGTCGATTGTTCGGATATGACCTGGCCGGATCCTTCTGCCGGTCATTTCTCCCCGTCCCGTCATGGGGTTATCTCTCTCTGGTCGCTCGCTTCGTGTTGTGTGCTCGGGTTGTTCTGGACTGCCATGCACGTACGTGCGCCGAAAAAGTTGAAAGAAGGAATATTAAGACGGCAACTTGGGCTGGGAGGGATTTTTCACCACTGCCCGTCTCGACCAGTGAGAGGAGAGGAGAGACGAGCGGCTAATTATGTTTGCAAGTAAAAGAAGGTCACTTTAAACACTGCCCTTGCACCTCATCTGCGGAGCTCGAATAGGATGGCTCAAAGGCCAGGGAATCGAACACATATAGGATGCAAGTTGGTTAGAATGCAAGATTTGAATATGCAAAGTACTTGTGTGTGTGTGTGTGTGTGTGTGTGTGTTTGTCTTTGGTGGCGAGTCCAGGCTAAATAAGCGTAGTAATCTGGCATGGCAATTCTTGTTCATCAGGGGGGTCAAGGTAACAACATGTGGTATAACTAGCAAAAAAAAACTCACCGACCTTGGAGAATATACTAAATATACGCGGAATGTCATGGACAATGCTTTCGGACGGTTGATGACTTGGCATAAGCAGGAGCCTTTCTGTGACGTTGCGGTCTTCTATCTTTTTTTCCCTCATCTGCTCCAATTTTTTTTTCTTTTTTTCAAAAGTTTGTCTGTAGTATCCGTAAAAGAAAACATGATATTGCCCTGTCATGGAAGGGCTCGTTACAGCAGCATGAGTTAATCGGGACTAAAAGACTCCGGTTCGATGATGTGCAGGTAGGCTGTCATGATTGCCGAAAGGCGCGACGAGCATGACAATGTAACCAACACGACATGATGGCAAAGAAGCACAAAGAGGCGCCATGTACGCAAAAAAGAAAAAGAAAAAAAAAAGGGTTGCGGCTTAGATGCCGCAATGTTGCTATATTGGTAGTTGCGCTCCATGTTCTACCACATCAAGACATTTTTCCCGTGTTACAAGTCCTATTCGGCTTTGGCGTGGCAAAGGGGGGTTTTGGCGCAAACGCCCACAGGCCACAGACGCTCCGGCCAGCGACTCTTTTGTGTCTCTATGCTGTTGTCGTATGCTATGGTAATCGATGACAAAATAAACCGAGATGGTTGAGTTGGGCACACGAGGGAGCATGGGTTTGTTCTGCTTGGATGGTATTGTGGAGAATCAAGTGGGAATTTAAATTGGGCGCAAAGATACAAATCTAGTACAGATGCAGCAGATTGGGCTTTTCACCACCATGAAATCCGAGTAGCTTTGTGGACTTTGTGGGAAAAAAAGGGAAAAGTAGAATAATTTGGCTATAAGCCTCTTCTCCTCTCCTCACCTTTTATTCAAAGTCTTGGATGGTGCTCCGACATTAGGGATGTGGGATCCCTGTATTCGAGAGGACCACCTTTCGATAAATAATCCGGGCCGGAAGACCGGGTTTCCCCTCTTTGGGAGATTCTCTTATTGACTAGGTAGATATCACCATATCAGTAGAAAAAAAGGCCCGTCGACCTTGACCGCACTCCCCGCCCACCACCACCCACCCCTCCGGCCATGCTTGCACGGCTGTGCTTTGCGGATGCTCTTCTTTTTCTTTTTCTATTTTTTTTTTAAACGGATACAGGATAACGGGTTCATTTGCCCTCGGCTTGACCAGTTTGGTGGCGAGACAAGCAGAACAGCCCGACGGGACGGCCAAGCATCATCCTCTTGCCTCCCTCTCCTCCACCCGTCTCTGCCCCCCCCCCCCTCCCTTCTCTGAAAGCGCAGCGTGTGCAGCAGCAGCCTCCAGTCTTCGCCTACCTATACTAGAAATGAGGTTGCGAGGTCATGATTCGGATTCCTGACCCCGGTCCATCACCTGCACCCACTCAATGGCACTGAGTGACGACCGATTTATCAGTTCCATCACACCCAACCATTTTGCATTCCCCGCATCTGGGCAGCGCCGCTAACAGCCAAAAAAAAAGTAGTGGTCATGTCATTGCACGCCCCTCCTTCCTTCCTCCTCCTTCCTCCGTTCCAGGTCCAGAAAGTCTGTCCTTTTTTTTTTTCCGACACCATCCTAATTGCGGACTTCTTTTTAGCTGCTTGGCTGCACACACGCACCAAAAAGCTGGACCGACTAATAAAGGTGAATCAGCGGCCGCAGGCTTGGCCTGCCTGTACGTAGGTACTCTTCCTTTTTCGCTGCAGCGGCTCGCTGAACTAGCTTCCCCCCCCCATGCATCCATCTACGGACCACAAGTTGCGACAGACGACGGCTTTGCCACTCCTCCGCCACCAAAAAAAAAAAAGCCAGAGTCAGCAAAGTGGTTGAAGAGTTGTACGGATATTTTTTTGTCAATAGTTTGCGTAGTCCATTCCGTGGCCAGACCTCGCCTCGTTGAAGCGTGACATGGAAGCGGCAAGTCCTGGCGCCCGTCTCAAGCAAGCCATTTCCATACATACCATGCCCTGACCAAGCGCCCGCCCACCGCCGTCTGCATACGGATACATACTGGTCACTGACTATTGCTAGGGTTGATTCGCATTTGTCTTTTTTATTCTTTTGCTGGGTCTTTTTGTCTTGCCTGCCTCACCTCTTTTGGGTCGCTCGCTCCCCTCGCCATCTGTCTTTTTACGTCCCTTTTATTTATTTTTTTGGTTCTTTTGGCTTTTCGGCTTTTTGAACGATATTTACGTCTTGCTTGGACTCTGGTATTACCAGCCAGCCAGCCTCTCACATGTATTTCTATTGTGCAAGTCACCAGCACACAGGCACAGAAACGGCAAGCACAGAGACATATTTGTACAAAGCCCATACAGCAAAGCCCAAGTTTCGCTGCACACGGGACAGCATCGGACAAGTGCTCCCAGCATGACAACATTTACACACCCAAGTCCCAAGTCCCAAGTCCCAATTCCCAAACCCCCAAGTCCCATACATACATACCCACCTGCATGTCCGCTCCCAGCCCGATGCTCTCTTATTACTCCCCTCTTTGCTCTTTGCTCTTCGCCGTCGTTTGCTACCCCCAACGTCTGGTCCAACAACCTCGGCGGTCTTGTTACATGCCACACATGCCACACACGCCGCCGTCGCCGCCGCCGTCACCGTAGTTCAGCCTAGAGGCTTATCCGACCCGGTCATTTTATTAGCCTCTGTTGCCATTGAGCTCGCTCCTTTTTATACACTTTTATCAGAGGGCTTTAAAACAAATCGCCTCCCAAGGAAAGGATAACAAGGATTCCGCGGTCGCTTGCAGCACTACATCATTATTTAAGCCCTTGGCCTGTTGCCTGTCTGTCCCTTGTACCTTGTTGCAGGTGGTCCTCTGTCTTGCTGCTTCTGCTCCATTTCCTTTACCGACGTTGCCCTTGATCCGTGTTGGGCCTGGACTGGCGTGACTGTGTCATTCAGCACGCCTTGATTCCACATTTGCATCTGGTCATAGTACCGCGCCCTCTTTTTTCTTCTTTGCACCTCTCCGACGTACCTTTGTCATCTTGGCCGACCGTCCTCATCCCTTTCTCGGTCGGTCTCTCCTTCTACTTTGTCAGAGTCAGCGCTCGTCTATCCGAGCTTGCTTATTACTGCCATCAGCCGCCACCAGCTTCCTCTACGGCCAAACTGCACTTGCCTCTTGCCCGGCTCGGTTACGCAGTCGTCGGTCCATTTCCACTACACAACTGAATAAACCCTTCCGGATCTCCTGCAAACAACCTCTCGAGTCGTTTCAGCTCATTTTAGCCTCCGACTCAACCTCCAAGTCATCTGTCTTGTTCGTCGCCGTCCAGTCCCTCGCTTGCCCCGCACGCCGCCGACTCCAAGCTACCGCTCTCCATTCCATCCTCCACGAGTACGAGCCCAAAGAAAAGCCCACGGCCCAAGACCAGGATACTTTTAGGCTTTCGCCTTTTCATATTTCTCACTGCCGTCGCACCTCTGGAGCATCTACTATGACTACAGTGCAGTGATTCAGCTTCAGACGTTCCCCATACGAGAATTGCTTTGCTTCTCTTGGCTCCGGATCGCCACACCTGCTGGTCAGCTGCTCATAGACACCATCACCTCCGAGCTTTCCTATCATACTTCCTGTGACGTCGGGGGGCTCCCATACGGCAAATCAAACACGACTAATCAAACAAGAACAAATCTCGTTTCCGCACCACATCATTATATCAGCATTTTTTTTTTCCAAAGCACGACGTCGGACCTTTCTCGGACTTGCCTGGGATCCTTGCGACGCTCCGTCTGCCCTGCGCGGTGTAGAGATACGATACTCGCGCCGTTTCGCTGATACATTAATTATGAGTCATGGATAATATGGATTTTGCGACCCATGATAATACACCTGGGCCGCCAGCTCCCGCAAACGAGATGCCGCAGTCCTCCGGCCAGTGGATGGCTCAGCCACCAACTGTGCAACCGCAATGGCCTCACTCCGCTCCCTTTTACCCTCAATACAATTCGACCAGTCCAGCATTCAGCCATTCTTACATGGCCGCGCAGAATAGATCTTACCTCGCTACAGGCCCGTCTGCCCCCCCGCTTTCCTCGCTCAACATCAATCAATATCAAATGCCAGCCAACCCGTGGATTGCTCCCCCCGTTCCGCATCAACTCAATACTTATCCAGCTCACCCGTTTGGATCGACTGCTAGTCCCACTGGACAACAAATGCACTATGCTTCCGGTGGCCCAAACGTCTTGCCTGCGTTTCCCCAGCCGCAGTTTGGCTTTGCGCAGCAGCCCGTTTCAACAAACATGCAGTCACCACCTTGGCCTGTGAATACACAGCCGAATCTCAACGTTCGCCTGAATAACCCGTCTGTGAACTCGGTGCCCTATCATTCTCAAGAAGCTTTCGAATCGATGCGTACGCGGCACAACAGCCAACCCAATCAACATACGCAGCGGAACATCCAGAGCCGCAGCCGACCACAGCAAACCCACCGGCATTCGCATTCTACAAATAGTAAGTCTGAAAACACTCAGAGTCATTTTGCGCTGCCTTGCTCTTCGTACATGTGCCGCTTGGGATTTTAACTGAGAAAAGAGCGACAAGGTCTGGAAATTTCTTGCTGACCTCACCACATTATAGCTCTACATCCATCCATTGTCAACGACAGAACCGCCCCGTCTTCTTCCTTTTCCGAGCGAAGACGTCTCGAGCATACCCGAGGGCGACGGTCAGGCGGTCCTAGATTCACAGTTTCCGAGAGCCGTGGTGATTGGACAAGACAATTTGGTGGTTCGGCTGTGCTCTATCCCGGCCCTCAGCGTCAAGCGACAATGAATCATACCGGTAGCTTGGACGAATCTGAGACTAGGCGCTTGCAGCTGCTTCGTAGCCCTTCGACCAGCAGGAGCGTTGTGTCGAGAGAGGCGCTACAAGGCCTGCTGGATGTCATAGTGGATGATCTTGCTAAAGGCGATAGAAGTAAGTTGATTGTGGGCGCTGTTGCATCAGCTCTTTGCTAATTCGTGCAGCCTGCATGATCTGCTACAACGAATACGGAACAAGATCTCCCGAGGATGTAATTGAGAAACCGCTTAGACTGCCCAAGTGCAAGCACGTGTTTGGCAATCGCTGTATCCTCAAGTGGTTTGAGGATTCGGATAGCTGTCCCTATTGCCGTGATAAATTGCAGTCTGAGCCAAAACTTCCACCGTCATCCACCCGGGCTTTCTTGGACATAATGAGGATTAGGGGCTGGGCAGCAGGATCAGAGGTGGCGGAAGAATTTTACCGACGAATCATGGCGGGTGAGGATGTCAGAGCATTAGTCAGTGTCGGCCGCTCCATGGCCGAGAGGCGGCCTCCTCCCGAAGATGACAACTACGGCGACGCAACTAGAAGGACCCGACGGCGTCGATCCAGTTCGTCAAGCCTCGACGCGGAGATTCTGTCGCCAACGCAGAGTGCAGCAAATGTACGCCGAGCAAGACATCGAGTCACGCCAAACTCGTCGGACCGACCATTGCCAACGCAGACGGAGCCTCGACTAAACTCGTGGATGTTTTTGGCTCCAGCGGTTCCTGAAGCGCCAGGTAGCATTGCTCCAAATGCACCCTTGCGGTATCAATCCCCAGCTCGTCCTGCTCAGTCGACAGTGGTGCACCAATCAAATCCAGCGATATCACCACCGGTAGCACATCAAGGTGCATATACAAGAAATGTTGGCCCAGCCGCGGGCTCGAGTGCCATGGCAAATCCGCTTCACACAAGTGCAGAGGCATCGCAGATGGTCCAAATGGCTTCCAACGATAACTATGCGGATGAAATGATTGAAGACGTATATCTTAGTGGACAGGATTCATCTTGAGCCAAGTTGACAAGGCCTTTCCTTGGAGCACAAGTATCCAATATGTCGGATTGGGGTCCATGGGCTGGCCAGGAGCGCAGCGGAAACCGACACTTTTCTCTATATATTGCAGCATTCTTTTTTCCCTTGGCACCGATATCCGGTAGCCGAGCAGCGCATACACTTTGAGCATCATGGCGGCGTTGTCAGTCCTTTTTGGCCTATTTTTTCAGCATACACTCTGTTGCGCCGGGTCCCTTGCCACACTAATTGGCGGATAGACTGTGGCTTTTACTTTGTCATTTGATGCTGTGTTCCTGTTGATGTTTTTCGCTCATGTACATGGACATTTTTAGAGCCAGCGTGGCATGGCTGCCTAGGTAGCGACAATATGATGGTAGCTGAGATTTTTACCATGTTGCGCGGTGCGCCACAATTGAAGGCAAAAGAATGTGGTAAAGTCTGCTAGTATACGATTTCATATGCCGCTCAAGTCACCATGGTGCTTTCTGACGAGTCTTTTTTGGTGGACAGCATTGCATGCTCGTTCTGCACGTCACAAAGCAGGACTTGCATCATGTTTATTGATTCTGGGCCGAGCCAACCTTGCTGGGCAGACGTTGACGAGGCAGCCATCATCATGGCCCCACAAGTGCGCACCGGTGGTTGTGGCTTGAACGCTGCTGGTGTTGCTAGCAGCACCAGCAAGTTATACCGACGGTGCCTGAAATAAATAATCGAAGTGTGCGAACGATATCTAGAGTGCGGATAGCAATTCATGCAATGCGCGTATCTGGCAGCTTTTTGCAGAACACGACTCATTAATAGCTGAAACTAATCACCTACATTGTTTATTATAGATCAAGTGCTAATTAGAGGCTGGTTTATTATTGGGCATAAGCTTCGCCAGTGGTGCCACGACAGCTGTGGCGCTATGCCTGAAATGGAATAGGATAGTTGGTGCTGCTATAATGGAAAGTGTTGAACTGGTTCGCACGAGCTGATGACCTGGGGCGTCGCAGTGTGGCGAAACGGCTTGCCAAGGCCTCGAGGCGCGACATACGACAGAGTGTCAACTTCTGCCTGGAATCAATCAAGTTGACGCTGAATATTGTAGCACTGCAATAAATAACCCCCTTTTCATCGAAAAGTCAGACCGACATTCATCTGGCGGTCTGAACATGAGTGAGGAATGCATTTGAGACCCACTGCTCCATTCATTGTGCCCGATTGTTTCAACGTCAGCTAGGCTAAGCTAGCCTTTGACAAGAGTATAGAGTCAAAAGGACATGTGACGATATAAAATGAAGTTTGAAGCACAAATCACAACAACGCCCTTGAAGGAAGAACCCAAATTGCCAGACAGTCGGAGCTTAATCATCATCATCACCCCCTTTGGCAGCTCACCCGTTGAAAACCTGCTTAATGCGCGACTAAAGCGGCGTTGCACCTAGAATTACCTTTTCACCTGCACGGCTCTAGCGTCATCCCCAGCCACCGCACCTTTTCAGCAGAGCGGCTCGGGTCGATGGGGTCCCCCCCCCCCGCTAGAGATACCTCTTGTTTACATGTTTCTACTAGCTTTCCCCAGGTACCTGTGACCAGGCGACCGAGTGGGGCCTCCAACGTGCTGTGCTTGTTAGAGCCTTACCTAGAGGGCACCATTAGGCTCCATTTCCTGGCCCTGCCCAGATATACAGTGAGAGATACCTTGCAATAATAAGTCGTTTCTGCGCAAGGGCCTCTGTCCACTTCAAATCAAAACATTTCATTTTCCTCTTTCATCCTTTCTCGCTTTCCACATTGATAAAAGCGATCGAGAACACACGATATTCCGATTCCGAGGCTTTTCAGATATTCCCATGTCCCATTTTTAAGTGTGTCCGTCCACGCACTGAATAAGACGACTGGTTATACTGCAACAAGATTACACACGCACACACACCGCGCCTCCCACCATGCCGCGGGAGAGTCGCCGCCAGAGTTATGAGGGCTCTGACAGGCGCAAACCTGATCGCGAGCGAGACAGAGACCCGGACCGGGAACGGGATACAGACCGAGACCGAGACCGTCGCCGGGACAGAGACGTTGAAGACACCCATCGACGCAGAGAGAGAGACAGCAACTACCGCACCCGATCCGACTACGACCCGATGCCCAACCCGCCGTCCTTTACAAACATGCCCTATGCCGCACCATCCTCACCTCCTCGCCAGTATAGTGGCCCTTACAACGTCAATACCCAAGGAAACCAGAGACGAAGGGCTCCCTCGAATTCTAGCTATGGCAGCTCCAGCTCGTCCTCGGTCCTCGACATTTCCAGACACTACCCGCAAAGCCGTTACGGCGGTTTCCTAGGTACTTTTTTCAAGGCGCCCTCGGAGCGCCGCCGCCGCAATTCGGCTCGACGGGCTGCCCGCTCATCCAAGCGCCGCACCTCATTCTACTTTGGCGGCGCTGGCAATTCGTCGTCGTCGTCGTCTGTCAATTCCGACCTCGCCTACGGATACGGATACATTCCCAAGCTGCACCGCCGCCGCAGCAGCCGCCGCCGCGACTCTGGCGGCAGCAACAGCTTTCGATATGGCGGCGCTGCAGCCGCTGCGAGCGGCAGCGGGTCGCGCTCGGCCAGGACAAGAGACGGCGACGTGCCTGATGCTCCTCCATCACGCAGGCCGGACGGCCACGGCCCTACTACAACGCGCGGCAAGACGGATGAAGAAATTCTCGACATTGGCCGCCAGCTGTCCGACCTGGCGCGCAAACAAAACAAGCACGATTTAAAGGCTGCGGGCTACGTCAAGCCCACGATGCTGGCTGCAGCAGCCGCGGCAGGGCTTGGCAAGTACCGCAAAAGTCGCAACGAGGCTCGTTCTCGCGGAGTTGGCAGCTCGCGCATCCATGGAGAATCGTCGAGTGACGAATCTGATTGGGAGGATGCTTCAGATGATGAGAGCGACGGCGCAGACTCTGTGCTTGCGTATGGATCTGTCGTCTCCTCTGCCGTGCGGCCCACTGCGGCGGCTGGAAGGTCTAGCTACGGTGCTGGACCCTATGCCAGCGGCGCTGTGATGGGTGGCGCTGGAGCGGCTGCGGCTGCGGCTGCGGCTCTGGCAGATCCTCAACGACGCAGCTCTGTTGTCGACCCTCGCCTGTTTGGCCCCGTCAATTCGCTGCGCGGCATGATCAACACACCGTGCGGATTTGGCCAGGATCCGCATCCTGCCCCCCCATCCGTCACGTACCAAACGCCCGCGGACGCCCGTCGAAATGGCGTCGAGTCTTTGGACAACAGACGTCCCATGCGGGAAGTCTACCCTGTTCCTACGTCGGATCCTAGCAGGTTTGATGCCGACGCCATCATTGTACAAGAAGAGCTGCCTCACCGTTCTCATACGTCTACCGTGCCCCTCGAGCAACCTGTTCCGAAGCTTCCTGTTTCTTCCAAAGTATACGAGGCGGAGAAGTTGGAGGACTCTAGCCGTCGCGAGTCACGCCATGGCAAAGACCGTGACAATCTGGGCAAAGACCGTGATAGCTATGCTAAAGACCGTGATAGCTATGCCAAAGACCGTGACAGCCATGGCTTCAATGGCAGTACTGTTGCTGGTTTTGCGGCAGCTGCCATTGGTGCTACTGGTGTCGCTGCTCTGGCTTCTGACCGCAAGGAGGACAAAAAGGAGAAGAAGGCGCTGCGCGAACGTGAACGGGAGCGCGAGCGCGACAAGGAGCGTGAACGAGAGGATCGCGAGCGCGAACGAGCACGTGAAAAGGACCGTAACCGCGACAAAGAACGAGAACAGGAACGTGAGCGCGACAGGGATCGAAGAGATCGTGATCGCGAGCTCAAACGACGAGACAAGGATTCTGACAAGGAGGGTAAAAAGTCGAAACGTGATTCGCATTCCTCCTCAAAGTATGACGACAAAGACCACAAGCGCCACTCTAAACACGCCGACGAAGATACACCTCGAAAGCGTCGCGAAACGGAAGCCGACCACTACGCCGACTCGCCGTCGTCTCGCAAGGACCGCAGCAAGCGTGAAATTGATGAGCCTCGCAGCGAACTCTCTCGCTCGTCCAAGCGAGATAGCAATTCATACTCTAGTCGCGACGATCGCAAGGAGGACAAGGGCAAGTCTGTCGACAGATATGACTTCAGCTATAACCAAGGAACCCCCAGCTCCAAAGTCAACCCGTTCCTGTATCAAGTATCCGACGGTGCCTTCTCTACCACCGTTCTGCCCGCCGTCGAAGCGCCTGCGGATCGGCCACTGACACCTAACATTGTCACGATTGATCGCGAGCCGAATTTCGATGACTACGAGCCGTACCTGCCACTAGAACCTTCCGAGTCGAGACTGAGCCGAAAAGATTCCTTCGAAATCCAGGAGCGGCCCCAAGACTATCAAGTCCACCCCAAGCGCTACGACCATGGCATTCATGTCTACGAAGAGGGTGAGCATGAAGCAAGCAGCATCTATGACCAAGCGAAACACGCTACCATTCCTGTAGCTGCAGCTGCTGTTGCTTCCGCCATTGCTGTGGAAACGGAACGCTCTCGCGAACGTCGTCGAGGCCAGTATGACGAGGAAGGCTCTCGAGACCGCGGATCCTGGCGCAGAGACACTGTCCAGGAAGAAGCCGACAAATACTACAGGGAATCTGTAATTGCTCGCAAGATTGAGGAGGAACAGATACGCAGCCAGACACCCGAGAATGATACTAGCCGGCAGGTCAGAATCGTTACCCCTCCCGAGATGCACGAGCAGCATAAGAACGTCGGCCCTTACGATGCGCCCAACGCCGATGTACGAATCGACAATCAGCTCTTTCCCAAGGAAGCTAATAAGTTTGACAAAAAGAATGGTAAGCGCAAGTCCAACTTCAAGTCGCGCGACCCATCCTGTGAACGAGACCGACCTGTCCTGAACCTCGTCTTTCCTACTCCGATCCCTAGTAGGGAGCCGACACCCAGAGTCGAGAGACAAACAACTCGGGATCAGCGTGAGACACGAACTAGATCTGACCCATCCGCAGAAGTTGCCATTGGACCCAAAGGAGATATCATCAAGATTGAGCCGTCAAACAAATCCGTATCCTGGGGCGAGAATTCTACTAAGAGCTTTGAGGTAGAGAGTGCTGATGGCAGGAGCGATGTAGAGAAAGAAAAGGTTGTTGAACCGGAGGACAAACCGAGAGTCCGATTGACCAGGGCCAGCCCGTGGAGTATGGTGGCTGCCGCCGTTGCCGGTAGCGGCAGTGAGCCCTCAGGTAAACCCGACACAGTTTCCGAGCGCAAGTACGACACAGAGGACTACAGCTCCAAAATTCCTGATATCCAGGAAATCAGCCAAACACAACCCGAACAAGTCTACAATGTCGACACGCGCGACCAACCTCCGGTCCCTGGGCCCAAACCTACCAGTCCCCCGAGGAGTACACTGCCCGGATCATTTGCCGACGATGTCGAATTTGCGGCAACTCTCGCTGCTGGACTCAAGGATACCGGCTTCGATTCCAATATTGTCGTCGATGATCCTACCTATCGACGACGTGACTCGCCGCCCGGCACGAAGGAAGCGAATGGCGACGAATGGAACCACAAATCCATGTCCGACATTGTCATGGACATTACTAATAAGAAGGACTCCAGCCGTTCCGTAGTATCAGAACCTGCCGGCATTACTCGCGACAGACCGGTCAACGACCACAGCAATGGAGGAGACGAGTGGGAAGCGCCCAAGAAGCTGAGTAAGAAAGACAAGAAGAAGCTCGATAAGCTCAAGTACCAGTCACTAGACTCTTTCGAACCCATTAACCCCACAGAGACGATTAATCCTGATCCCGCTGGAACACCGGCCTTTGAAGATGCCGTCGAGGACTTGTCCAAGCTTTCGAAGAAGGAGCAGAAGCGACGTGAAAAGCAAGCCAAAGCTTTATCCCTTCTTGGAGGCGGTGGCCGCGATACCGAAGCCGAGCCGGCGGCCGAACCTGAGATTGTGTCCGAATCTGTCAAGCACTCTCACCCGACTGAAGACACTGTCGACAACTCCTGGGAAGATTCATCGAGCAAGAAAAAAAAGAAGAAGGATCGCAAGAGTCAAGAGATGGCTCCCGAGGAAAGCATCATAGTTCCTACCGATGCCTTTGACGATTTGCAATCCCTACGAAAGCTGGACAAGGACGATACTGTATCCACTGCTATCGAGGAATGGGATACCCCTTCCAAGTCGAAGCGAAAGTCCAAGTCGGACAAGGACGATACTGTATCTACTGCTATCGAGGAATGGGACACCCCCTCCAAGTCGAAGCGAAAGTCCAAGTCGGATCGCGATGAAAGCACACGCTCTGTTGCCGAGTCAGAGTTGTCCACTTCAAGCAAGAAGAGCAGCAAGTCCAAGAGACGAAGCGGTACTGAAGGCGACTTTGACGGCTACGGTAGCGATCGGAGTAAGAAGAGCAGCAGATCCAAGCATCGCGAGGGTGAGGATGGATACGGCAGCGATGTGAGCAAGAAGAGTAGCAAGTCGAAGCGTCGTAGCGGCGCAGAAGGCGACTTTGACGGATATGGCAGCGACCGCAGTAAGAAGAGCAGCAGATCCAAGCATCGCGAGGGTGAGGATGGATATGGTAGCGATCGCAGCAAAAAGAGCAGCAGATCCAAGCATCGCGAGGGTGATGATGGATACGGCAGCGATATGAGCAGGAAGAGCAGCAAGTCGAAACGTCGCAGCGGCGCAGAAGGAGACTTTGACTACGGCAGTGATATCCCAAGCCGGAGACGCAGTCTCTTTGATGACCGCGACGTCTCGTCTGTGGTGTCTGAGGCTCGTGGCGACGGCCGTCGCCGCGAACGTGAAAAGGACAGAGATCGCGATCGGGACAGAGACCGAGACGAACGCAGCAGCAGCAAGCGCTCGTCGCGCAATTACGATGACGATGACGACGCCCGCTCCGTCGTCTCTGTCGCTTCTGCCCCCGGCGGCATCCGCAAGAGCAAAGACAGCAAACGCTCCAGCGGCTTGTTTGCCAGTATTTTCAAAAGAGATGACGACAAGAAGGAGAAGGAGTCTTTTTTAGATAATGCCGGCACCCTTGGCGCGGGTGTCGGCTTGGCGGGCGCTGCAGCTATTGTCGCTGCCAGCGTCGCTCGCTCCAATGCCACCGACCGCTCCGGCGAGGCCCATAAAGACGATGATTCTCATCAGACCTCGCGAGTCGAATCTTACGATTACGATACCTTTGATCCTGAAATTGCTCCTCGCGCAATCAAGCCTGCCATTGATCCCCAGTATGGTGATCTTCTACCTCTCCCACCGAGCGAACCCGGTAGCCCGCGATCAGAGCCTGGTGACTTGCCGCCTCTCCCAGACAGCCGCCCAGACACCCCTCCCGAGGAGCACGGCATGAGACGCGACCAGCTCACACACCGACGCCGACGCAGCACTCAAGAGACGCCTGTCAAGTCGCCCAGCAACACGGCCATCCCCCTTTCGCTTCGTCTGGGACAGCGACCTCCTTCTAGTCCCAGTGGCACCTTCAAATCTCCTCCCACCAGCTCATCTGCGCAAACAAGCACCGCGCCAGACTCGACAGCTAAGCGAGCCTCTCGTGGAACATCCTGGGACAGCAGCAGAGAGTTTAAACCCCTGTACCTCCTCGAGCACTCCCGTCATGGTTCAGCCGAGACCATTGCGAAGCAAGAGGATCTTCCAGCTCTTCCACCTTCTATCTCTGCCTCGGAAATCTCCTTCACCGAGGACAACTCTCCCGCTGATTTTGCTTCTTCTGGCCTTCACATTGATACCCAAGACTTGCCACATTCCTTCGAACAGCACGGTGGCTCACAGGAAACCACCCCCAAGGCCGAGATCAAGCCCCAGTTCCCGTCTCATGAGGAACAAGGGCCCGTCATGGATCCTAATGCTGTCGCCTCCATGTCTAAAGACCGAAGCTCTTACCTCCTCGAATCAACACCCTCGTCGACCAAGACGACTGCCACTCTGGACAGTGAATTGTCACAGAGCGACCCTGGCTCCACCCCCAGCAAGCACCGTAGATCAGCCGACATCATGCCCGAGATTACGGAGGACCTGACGTCTGCTGATGAACGATTCGAGGATGCTCTAGACATGCCATCGGCTGGCTCGCGCCGTTGGTCGCATGATTCAGTAGCCATGCAGGACGCTTCGGAGCATCATGAGTTGGCACCTGACCCTGAGCTACTGACGAAGAAGGCTCCTGCTCCAGCAGAAGAGTCTGTTGCGGAGCCTGATGAGTGGGCTGGACTCAGCGCCAAGCAGAAAAAGAAACTGAAAAAGGCCAAGAAGGCTCAGTCCTTGAACCTGAGCGAGCCCACCGCTGAGCCTGCTGCTGAGCCTGCTGCTGAGCCCGCTTCTGAACCCGTCTCCGACTCAACTCCCGAGCCCGCTTCCGAAATAACTTCTGAATCCGCTCCCGACTCGACTTCCGCACCCCTCTCCGAGCCTGTTCCTGTTGTTGATGAGCCTGTCTCTTCCATGTCCGGCCCTGTTGAAGACACCGAAAGTGCATCCCCTCAAGGCGAAGCTTTTGAAGGGCCCAAAAAATCCAAGAAGGGCAAGAAGAATAAGAAGAAGTCTCAATCACTGGAAAATGATGCCCTTGAGGCTGCGTCTATTGTTGCAGGTGCTGCTACCCTTGGTGCTACTGGACTGGCAACTCAGCCAGCTGATAACACGGAATCTGCCGCGGATCCCCAGCCCGACACCAAGCTTGTACCTTCATCGGAAGCTACCGACAATCATTCTGTCGCAGAGAAATATGACACTAAACCCTCGTCTTCAACTGAGGCCATTGACAACAATTCATGCGTCGCAGATCCCATGCCCGATACCGAATTTTCATCCTCAGCCGACACCTCCAAAAATCTTCATACACAGACTCAACATGGTCTTACTGAGGGAAAGGGCCTTCCCACCGAGACTGAGCCTTCTGCGAAAGAGGCAGAACCCCAGGAGCTACTCACAAAGACGAGTGACGAGAGCACAAAAAGCCAGCAGCTCGACATTCAGCCTGAGGTCGACTCAAAATCTCTGCAAGAATTGAACACCAAAGAGCTTCTTGAGCAAGAGACGTCTCTCCCTCTGAAAGAATTAGCAGCTCAAGCCACTCCAGTTGAGGCTGAAATTGCCCCCGAACCGCAGCCAGATAAGACTGAGGACATTACTGCAGATGCTACAGATGAGTGGTCGACCACTTCCAAAGTTTCCAAAAAAGATAAGAAAAAGAAGAAAAAGAAGTCTCTCGTACTTGACGATGTATCTCCTGAGCCCGAGCCAGCAGCAGAAGCTGTTCAAGAAACTCCTATCGCGACAGAATTTCAAGACAACGCCCTTTCTGCTAAGGAGCAAACAACTGACATCACTCCAACCAAAGCTACCGCCTCCTCTGAACCGCAGCTAGAGAAGGACGAAGGCACTTCTGTAGATGCTGGTGACTGGTGGACTTCTTCTGCTTCTAAGAGCGATAAGAAGAAGAAGAAGAAGAACAAGAAACAGTCCGTTATGCTTGACGATGTTCCTGCTGAGCCCGAACCAGCGCCAGAGGCCAAAATCGAGACCCCGATGGTAGGAGAAGATGAAGGCAAGGCTCTTGCCACCGATTTCACTGCTACTACGACGAACGTTGAGCAAAACCAGCCTGAGCATAGCCTTGCTGACCTCGCAGCCGACCCACCCACCGAGGCTGCAGATACCAAGACCGTCGATGCAGATGCGGCCTGGCCAGTTTCAACTACTTCTAAGAAAGACAAAAAAAAGAAGAAGAAGAGCTCGCTTTCTATCATCGACAATGCTATATCTGCCGAGGAGCCAGCCTCCACTACTGACGACCTATCCTCAGTGGTCAAAGATACTGGAAAGATTGAGTCTGTTTCCGATAAAGAACCTGAGCAACCCGCCGTGCTCGATGTGTACAATGACAAAGAAACCTCTATCGACCCTGAAGATGAGTTTGCTGCTGTTCCCCAAGACAAGAAGAAACAGAAGAAGGGCAAACGCAAATCTGTGCATTTCGAACCCGAGCCTATCTTTTCACCCGAGCCTAGCTTTTCACCCGAAGAAGAGGTACCTGCACTTGAGGACCAACCCAAGACTAGTGATGCTCAAGATGATGCTGCGCTCCCAACTCTTTCGACACAGGACACAATCGTGTCAGCGCAAGATACCGTCTTTGATGAAACGCAACAGGATCTTACCAGCGCCAACACTACGCAAACAGACAGCCAACCTCCTACGGATCTGCAGAACGACACCCTTGACCCCGACAAGAAAGACGAGAAGGATACGAGTCAGGATGTATGGAGTTTGGTCAATGACTCCGCTTCAGACAAGAAGGAGACTGTCTCTTCTAAGCAAATCAAACTCGACGATGTAACTTTGAATACCGCTACTGCCGAATCTGACAAGAACTTGGACTCTATCGATGTGAACCCCGCTACAGTTACCGCTGAGGAGAGGGAGAAGCCAGCTCTTGCTGATGTCACGTCCGCCGTCGCTACCGACAAGACAGAGGCGGAATCAGAGGACGAATGGAGCAGACTCATCTCGGGAAACAAGGCGAAGGAGCCCGAAGGCGACACTGTTCTCGCTTCTGGTCTGACAGATGAGCCTGAAAGCATAATTGACGTCTCTGCCACGGCCAATGAAGCTTCAGCATTCGAACCGAAGAAAGAAACCCCTTCTCCTACGGAACCGCCTCTGGAGGAATGGCCGGTGGCGACTGGAAAGAAAGGCAAGAAGGGCAAGAAGAACAATAAATCGATGTCCTCCATCTCCTGGGGCGAACCTGAGGCTCAGCTAGACACCACTGCCGCTACCGAGTCTGCCTCTGTGGTTATTCCCGAGCCGGAGACTCTGTCCAAGTCCATTGATGCCGAGGGAAGCATGTCGCGTGATTCGATTGCCGCAGAGGCGAACGAGCCTATTACCGAGGAGCCAGCCGCCGAAGCTCCTGCCGAACCCGCTGCTGCCGATGCCGATATCCTCATCCCAGCCAAGATGTCCAAGAAGGACAAGAAGAAGAAAAAGCTGGCAGCTCTGCAGGAGGCCTTTGTTGATACTCCTAAGGATGCTACTGAAGTCGAAACCGCGGTACCGGTTGATGAGATGCCTGTTGAGCCTTTGGATGGAGGCGCTGCTGAAACTGCCAAAGAAGAAAATGTAGAGCAGGCCGATTCAGTTGCTCCAACCCTTGAACCAGCTCCTGAGCCGGAGCCAGTCCCCGCGCAGCAGGAAAAGATCAATCAGGAGGACGGATCTGACGAAATGTTCTCAAAGCTTTCCAAAAAAGACAAGAAAAAGAAGAAGAAGAAGCAAGCTTCCATGGACGAGACGAAAGTTGAGCCTGCTGGTCTTGCCCAGCCTGATGAGGCCGTACAGACAACCGAACCTGTCCTGTTAACTGAGTCTGTCCTGCCAACAACTGAGCCTGTCCTGTCCACCGAGCTTGTTGAGTCAGCCGAGTCTGTCCAACCATCCTCTGTCGAGTCCACTGAATCCATCCGGGCAATCGAACCTCAGGCAATCGAGCCTGTTACCTTGACTGATCCTGAGACCCATCAAGCTGTTTCTGGAGCTCAGGTTGAAGCTGCTCTGGAAACCTCTGCTGAGCAAAGTTCTCGTGAGTCGGAGCAAACAAATACGGACAAGGAACCGGATGGCTTCTCTGCCAAACTTTCGAAAAAGGACAAGAAGAAGAAAAAGAAGAAGCAATCTGCTTCCGCAGAGAACGAAGCGGCAACTTCCGAGCCACTGAGTCCTGCTCTTGGGCTTGAGCCACAAGCTGAGATTCTTGAACCTACCGCGTCATTGGACTCTCAAAGCAGTGACGCAATTAATCCTCAACAAGAAAATGTGGACGACGATTTCGGTGTATTTGCTACCAAAGCTGTTAAGGGAGACACGCAAAGCAAGAGAGACGAATCTGTCCAGACTCATGCTCCTCAAGACAACGTATCACCTGTTGAACACGACCCGCTTGTTAAAGATGATCAGCCTGCTGGGGAGTCCGCGCCGGAAACGGCGGCGCTTGTGACTTCAGTCGAAACGAATCCCACACAGGCTGAAGTCGAGCCTACGGTCAAGATCTCCGAGCCCGAGACTATCTCGCAAGCTGCTACCACTGTCGAGCCCGAAACCGAGTGGGGTGACTTGAATACGAAACTTTCCAAAAAAGACAAGAAGAAAGCAAAGAAAGCTGCGAAAGAGGCTATCTCACGTACACCCGAGGAGACTCTGGTCGAAGAACCCGCGACTGAGAAGACTGTCGAGCAACCTTTCGAGGCTGTCATTGCAACTGACTCGGTCGAGAAACCTATAGAGTCGACTGAACCCTCTCCCCAAGCGACGACGCCCGAGGTTGAGTCGGAGAAGGAATTGAGCGGCTTGGCAAGGAAATCTTCGAAAAAGGACAAGAAAAAGAAGAAGAAATCTCTCAGTCAAGCTCTCTCAACCTTTACGGTTGAAGCTGCTGCGCAGGGTGCAGATGAGGCCCCTGCCGAACCAGTTGCAGAAGCTGATGTGTCTAAGCCTGATGAGGTGAATTCTGAACCTGTCGCTGAACCTGTCGCTGAACCTGTCATTGAGCCTGTCATTGAGCCTGTTTCTGAGCCTGTTTCTGAGCCTGTTTCTGAGTCTGTTGCTGAGCCGGTTGCTGAGCCTGTCGTTGCGCCTGACGCTGAACCTCCTGCTGTAACTATCGCCAAGCTAGCTTCTGATGCACCACCCGGAGAAACTGAGACCGAGGACGTATTGAGCGGTTTGAACAACGATCTTCCCGAGGACAAGAACAAAGAAGGTCGTGAGCAGGAGGCGACGAGCGAGACAATAGAGCTGAATCCCGAAGTTCCCACAATTGAGTCCTCGAAGGCTGAGACTCAGGAAACAGTTCCGGATGCCGACGAGAAACCGGGCGTCAAGGAAGCCGAGCCGGACAATTCGTGGATGGCGGGCCTGTCTAAGAAGGAACAGAAGAAGTTGAAAAAGAAGGGCTTGACCGCTGCTGCCCTTGGAGCTGCTGCAGCTGCCACTGGAGCCAGCATGTTGGTTGCAGAAACTCCAGAAACTGCGAGAGACCCAGAGCCTCAGCCGCCGCAGGACGTCAAGGACGAGTTCAATCCTTCTTCGGCTTCTGGCACGAGTGAAACCGAAGCACGTCAGTTCACGGCAAACAAGATGTCCAAAGCGGAGAAGAAGAGGGCCAAGAAACTCGGTCTTAAGATGTACGATATCGGTGAATCTGAGCCAACAACAGAGGAGGTTGGAGCTCCGGGGTCAACTGCTGAGAGATTAGCTCGCGAGCTTCCTCCCTCCGAGCAGCCCAAATCCTCATGGGCTGAGGAGATGGCCGATAACGACTGGTCACCAGCTGCCGAAGTGAAAGAGAGAGATCCCAAAAGTGATACTGTTGTACCTGCTGAAGAGCCAGCTGCAGCAGAATCAGCTTTCTCGACTTCTGCACCCACGGAAACTGAGAGCCCCACAACAGAGGATGATAAATTGGCCTTGCCGATCAAGAAGGGTAAGAAGGGCAAGAAAGCCAAGCGACAAAGCACTCTGGACGTGGACCTCGAGAATGTTCCCACAGATCATCCCGCTGAAGTTCCAGCCAACATCGAGCCTGAAACTGCCCAAGAAGATCCTGTCTCCGAGCAGACTCGAGAATTTGTGGTCGAATGGCCTGCTCCTGAGGCTGAGGCTGCCGCTGCCCAAGGTGACGCCGAGAGCACTCGGAACATGACCCCAATGGAGCCGAGCAAGTCCGACCAGCCTGTCTCATTGACCACGCCGGAAACCGTGGAGGAGGCCCTTGGCCCTGAATGTGGCCCCTCCTTCGCCGAGGAAACCATCACCGCGCCAGTTGCTGAATCTCCCGCCGAGGTTGCTGATGATGATTGGGCTGCGCCTACGAGGAAGAAGAGCAAAAAGGGCAAGAAAGGCAAATCCGCCCCTCTTTCTGACTTTGAAGATACGGCAAGCAAGGGTGCCGAGTCTGTGCCAGACAGTGCCCAGGTCTCAACTCAACCCGAGCCCGTACCCGTAGTAGAGGACGAGTGGGGTACAACTGCCAAAAAGGGCAAGGGAAAGAAGGGCAAGAAGATGTCTTTACTAGCTTGGGAAGATTCGATTGTTGAACCATCAAGCTCAACGGTACCAGTGGAGGCTGAGAATGCTCATACGCCGGTGGCCATTACCGACAACGAGTCTGCCTTTGTTGAAAAACCTGCGGCTATACCTGACGCAGCAGTACAAGATAAAGATGATTGGGCCGCGCCTGTCAAGAAAAAGTCCAAGAAAGACAAAAAGCGCCAATCAACTCAGGAAAGCTACACAGAGGCCGAGGCTCCTACGAAATCTGATGCTACGCGGGACAATGACGCGGCAAAAGATTCTAAACGAGATGATGCGACTACGATTGGCGACGAGAGGCAAGAGAGGCGATTTGAAGAAGCGGTTAGTGTTGGTGAAGTCGAAAGAGACGATTTACCCAAAGTTGAAATGACAAGGTCTGTTGACGATAAGTTCAGCAGCTCTGACAGTAAGATGACGACGAAAGAAGGCCTGGGGGCAGCTGGTGGTGGTAAGAAAACAGCTGGTCGCGACTCCCTCGAGGCAGTGGGTGCAGCCGCAGCGCTCACCGGTGGTGTAGCGGCTCTGGCGCAAATGTATGGAGGAGGGAAGAAGAAGAAGGGCAAGAAATCCAAGATCGTGGACAAGAGACAACCGCAGGGTGATGACCTGTTTGACGACCCCGCGGTATGGGAGGGACCAGACAAGAAGAACGTTGTGGAAGAGTCGGGAGACGAGACGTTGGATGATGGAGTTGATGAGTTCTGGGGCCCAAGCCGACCAGACCCCGGCCCCAGCGTCGCACCGCATACCCCCGTTAGCACCAGTTTTACCGAGTCTGGCGATGAATGGAAAGAGACTGCCAGACAAGGGGTGTCAGTGGATGATGAGTTTGTTGAGAGTCCTATACTTGGGCGTGGAGATTCTGTACTACCACGATCCACGCCCGCTGGTCTCCTTCGACGTGATACCAAGCCAGAAGAGCCAGCAGGCGGACCACTTGATCAAGCACCTCGCGGTACCCCGTCACGACAATTATCCACGGAGCTGAGTGAGGTACGATCCTCACCTACGAGGGCACTTCCTGCTGTCCAGGAGCTTCCCGAGGCGGAGAAGTTGGCCGCCACTGGTGATCTCTGGCCGATGGAACAAGCCAACCGTGATAGCGGATTCATTCCAGAATCTCCCCCACGACGCAGAAGCCCCGGCTTTGTAGACGAAAAGCTTCGAGACAGTGGCGTGGACAGTGGAGATTGGCGAGAGCCGCTACACATGCAGACCCCAGAGGCACATAGCCGAGCCATGGACAAACGGCTAGGACCTTCGCCCCTGAACACGCCTGTGCTACAAGAGCCGCCTCGAGACAAGACTACGACGCCGGTTGCCGACCCTGACAAGAAGTTGCGCAGATCGAACAAAGACTACGGTGGGCTCGCGGCGGTGGCAGCTGGATCAGCTGTACTGACTGCGGAAGCTGCGTATCACGGCAAGGGTCACGATAATGATAGACGTGCCGTCTCAGATTCGCATGCAGCAATCAGATCTGGACGGGCCGAATCTACGGATGGCGTGGCGCGGCGATCTGTATCCAACACGAGTCTGTCCCGCCAACGGACACCAGAGCCACTAAAATTGCGGCCTGAGAGTCCAGGCAGCATACTGGGCCAGCGATCCACAGCCACGCCTACTCCTCCACCTCTGCGGCGGGTCGATAAGCGCATGAGCGGAGACCTCAGAGCTCTTCGTCAACAAAACAACTCCACGCCGCCCGTTGCCAACGAGGCTCGTGTCCGTACAAAGGACATGGCCGACGTATACGTGAGTGCCGCCTGATGCGCGCAGTTGCTTTCTGTCTTGTGTTTTTTTTACAGTGTAGCTTTGATATTTTCTTGATTATTGCCTTGTTTGTGTTTCCATCCATCTCATCTATCCTTTGTGTTGAGCTCATTCCCAGCCACCCGTATTCCATTACCAACCATGCGACAGCTGCAAGCGCAACCAATACTAACAACTTGACCACAGGATGGATTTGGCGAAGGCCGCCTCGGGTCGCCTCGCTCACCTACGCGACCGCATAGCATGCGCCGCCGCCAGAGCATGCAAGTTCTCGAGCTAGAGTCCAGGGTGGACCAGCTACTTGCAGAGAACCGTCTGCTGACGGAAGCTCGCAACCAAGCTGAACAAAACGCCAACCGAAGCGCCACATCCGTCCTCTCTGAGCGCGACGCCGAAATCGATGCGCTCAAGCAGTCCCTGCAATATCTGCAAAACGAAGTCAATCGCCTGACCGAAGTCAACGAAGGCCTGACCAGCGCCAATGCCGAGCTCGCAAACAAGGACAACACCCGTTATGCCGGCTTGGCAGTTCATGGCGATGGCACCCGCAGCCTTGAGGGTCCGGACGGCACCCCTATCAAGACTCTCGAAGAGAAGGATGCCGAGATTGCTAGCCTTCGCGAGCAGCTTGAAGCTGCCAAGGAACAGGTCCGCGAGATGCAGCGCCAAATCCTCGCCTCAAAGGCTGCCGATGCTCAGTTTCTCAATATCAGAGACGAAGACTACTTTGACAACCGCTGTCAGCAGCTCTGCTCCCACGTGCAGCAATGGGTCCTGCGCTTCTCCAAATTCTCAGACATGCGTGCCTGCCGCTTGACGAGTGAGATCAATGATGAAAAGACCATTGACCGCCTCGATAATGCCGTCCTAGACGGCTCCGATGTCGACATTTATCTCAACGACCGAGTCAAGCGACGAGACATCTTCATGTCCATGACTATGAGTATGATCTGGGAGTTTGTCTTTACTCGCTACCTATTTGGTATGGACCGGGAGCAGCGTCAGAAGCTCAAGTCCCTCGAGAAGCTTTTGACGGAAGTCGGCCCTCAAAACGCTGTCCGCCAGTGGCGTGCGGTCACTTTAACACTGCTCGCGAAGCGCGCCAGTTTCCAGGAGCAGCGCGAACTTGACACTGAGGCCGTCGTTCAGGCCATCTTTCAGACGCTTTGCAAGATTCTCCCACCGCCAAGTAATTTGGAGAATCAGATCCAGTCGCAGTTGCGCCGCGTCATGCGCGAGGCTGTCGACCTCTCGATCGCAATGCGGACGCAGCAGGCCGAATACATGATGCTGCCGCCTTTGCAGCCTGAATACGACGCAGACGGCGAGCTCGCGGCGACGGTACAGTTCAACGCGTCCATGATGAATGAGCGGAACCCCCAAAATAAGCAGACCAACGAGGAGATTGAGGCCGACAATTCGATTGTTCGCATCGTCCTGTTTCCTTTGGTGGTGAAGAAGGGTGATGACGCTGGTGTCGGCGACGACGAGATTGTCGTCTGCCCTGCACAAGTTCTCGTGGCGCGTGAGCACGGCAGGCGCCATGTGACGCCTTCAAGCGACGCTGGCGGGGCCTCGCTCCTTGGTGCCCCCAGCCGTCTCAGCGTGGTGACGGATGCCATGCTCAGCCAGGCAGATTCTCATTATGTCGAGGGTCGCAATTGAATTTCTCCCACCACCTAAGACGGAGACCTGCCTGTGCCGCCTCTCTGCAGCCTGCTCCAAGATTGTCTCTTCTACTGTCCTGTTTCTTTACATATTCTGGGTATTTTTTATTACATACGGTATATTGGTGTTGTGCATACAAAAAATGGTGATGCATGGTTTGTTTTCTTTGGCTCAGAGGGCTTCTACGCCACAGCAAAATTGTTTCGGATACAAGGGAGAAAATATGCCGGTGCGTGGGTTGGTTATATACGACATGGGAAAGAGATGAGTATATGTTCTGGTTATCTGGTTGGCATGTCCACATTTGTTTTAATGTTTTGATTGGATACAAAGCGACGCCTTTTTCTTTTCTGTTTCTGTCTCTGTTTCTGGGTTATGACCTTTTTTTTTCTTTTCGGTTACTTATTACTTGCAATCTCTCTCTGGAGAGCTCCTTTGCTTTTCACTTTTCCTGCCTCAATCTCGCAGCAGAGGAAGCTTTGGACGGAAAGATTTTCCCCTGTGGCTTGAGCGTCGACGGAGAAGGTTACTTTGGAGATGACATTTTGTGTATCATGATTCTTATCCCATTTACGAACGCCATCTATGAGCTTTTGATTTAATCTTGTTCTCGAGATAGTAAATATACTTTGCTTTCTACATCTATATACAATGAGTATCCATTTGATAAATCATGTGTGACAGTGTACGCGTGGCACGGGTATCATATAAGGAATGGCCTCCCTCCATTCGGTGTGAATTCAGTCAAAACGATTCGAAAGACTGGGCTGGCGCTCGCGTTTGCTATCCTCTTCTAGCGTGTTGCGGTCATCCAACGCGCCTGTTGTCTCTGCCGAGCGGCTTCTTTGTACCTCCGTCACCGACGCTCGGGCGGCGTCGGCGTGGGGAGTAGCGTTGCGAATCAAATGTCGCCACCCTTCCAGCTGCTTCTGCATCTTGAGCGCGACATCCGGGCCCACCTGATCGTGAACAAGCTTGGTGGCCCACTGCAGGTGCGTTTTGCGACCCGAGTGTCCCGCGTCGAGGTCCAGGGTGACGGCATCGACAGTGTTGCGTACAACAGTCGGAGACACCTTGCCGGTGAGGGCCATCTGATAGGCCACTGCTCGTCGGACGCGCCGTATCCTTTGGCTTCTGCTTAGAGAGGCACGAGAGGAGTACATGTCGCTGAGGAAATCAATCAGCTCCATCTTGGACTCGACTGTGCCGCCCTCGGCCTTGATTGCGCGCCAGGCATACGATTCCGCCTTCGGATACGTCATGAATTTCTCAAACTGCTCCTCGCTGCTCCCGGATAGGCCTGCACAGAGTAAATGGCTGCCGTGCTTGGTGTCGTTGGCAGCGATGCCGAGTGCTATGGCGATGTCCAGCTTCCCGCAGGTCTCGGCGACGGTGCGAAGCACTTCAGCGCAAGGGTCCTCTGCGTGAGAAAGGATGAGCCCCTCGATGAGGTGCCATGTTTCACCAATATCTGTCAGAAAGTCGCATAGTGAGGCTATTGCGGCTTCAGGATGTTCAGTTGCCAACAATGTCTTGACAGTGGTTGTCCATCTTTGTGATAGGCCGTCGTGGTAGTTCCAACCGGCAATCTGCTTGTGAGCATCTTTCGAGAGAGATCCATTGCTGTAGAGGCGAGCGACTGCTAGTTGCCAGATTCGGTAACCGTTGTGATCCATGCGCCGCCCTGAGCTCTGATTATATATTTGGGTGAATGGCCTAGCAGTCAGGCATGAATCGTACGCCTGGATGAGAAGCCAAGCGAACGACCTCTTCATTCTGGTGTCTGCATCGCATCGTGCGTTCTGGATATAGTGGCTCATTTTGGTAAATACTGAAAGTCGCTGACCCTCGCTGAGCTGGGCAAGAGCGGTTCCGATTTTGGCACAGCACCATCGCCAGGCCGGGTTGCGATGATCTCGTGTCGCTTGCGATTGGACAAAGGTCGCGATGTATATAAAGAGCGTGTTGTTGGGTAGGCTTGCTTTGGCTGACTCGGGCATGGCGAGCATTAACTTGTTGAAGCAGCTCACGTCGTGGAATCGGTCGTTGATGGCGGCGACGAACTTGAACATGGCTGTCCACATCTCGTCCAGTACAGCATCTGGTCTGCTTATCTGTGTAGCTTCAAGGGCTTCGGCAATGGATGACCGAATCGTTGAAAATATCTTGCCGCTGATTCCCATGTCTGATATGGCCTTGCGGGAGGCCGAATCGAAAGGATCCAATGCCACTAGCATGTCCTCGGTGGAAATGTATCCTAGTAAGATGCCCTCTTGTATTGAGACGCAATAGGCCTGGCAGATATTCTGAACAGTGTTTGCGTCGGTTGAAGCAAGTGAGGAGATGTTGAGCCGCAGGTCCTGGATCGTCTTTGAGAAGCTTGGGTAGTCATCAATGTCTTTCGGAGGAAGGATGAATGGCTTGTCGGCGTCTGACATTTCCAACCACTTGAGGAATTTACCCCATAGGCTCGGTATTGATACCTGACGTGATCGAATTCGGCGTTCTTCGGGTGCCGTAGGTGCATGCCACTGCCATGTCGCATTGGACAGAACCTCGATGTGCCAAGAGGGCACCGCATGTGGATGAGGGTACATGGCGCCAGTCAATGTTCGCTTCCCGAGTCGACGTTTGCTCTCTAGTGGCCCACGATGCGACATTATCCGGCGACTTTGAGGCACAGTGCGTTGTGGATGTCGTTCAATCGCGCGGCGAAGCACATCGTCAGTTGTCAAGATACGGCGGCTGCCAGTCGCCAGACACAGGGCGTGCCCGCATGGCGCATGGTATTGTGCGACCATTTGAACGGGTTATGTCGAATTTCGACCCATTGCCATCGTTGGCGGACTCTGATGGCCAAAGTGGTGGCAATGAGATGGTTGCTTGATGCGATTGTCGGCAGAGTTGCAGGACAATATGGTGGGTGGGCTCGAGCTATGAAGATGACTGTGGGTGGGGTGCTGGCGACTGCTGGCGGATAGTTTTTCCGGCCATTGCTGAGCAGCCCTGTTGGGGCAAACAAGATACATCACAGCAAAGTTCCAAGCCCAATTGAGTTGGAAAAGGGAAAATAAATTATTAATCAAAGATAATGCTAATACTCCACCGTCCCTGAGGCACTTTGGTTCCGCCCTTGTTCTGCGTGATTATCTGGAATAGGTGGACATGAAGCTATGATCTTTCAACTGCGGATCTCGTTCAGAGGGGCTGCTATTTCCAGCATCACTTCTGAGCTTTCAGCGCTAACTAATCTAACCGCACCAACAGTATCAATTATCTCTACAGCGGTAGTGTTTATAATACTATATCAAGCGTATTGATAGCGTTTTTCAAAGTCAATGTGAAAGTATAGATAGTTTGTTATTTTTTTTTGTAACGGTCCATGTAGCTCTGCTGGTAGATTTATTTATGAAGTGGTGGAGCCAATATCTTAACTAGCCTGTGCCTTCAACTGTCATCCTTATTCACTCACTACATAGAACCGTGCATCTCAGATGAAGCATGCGCTCCCACCCTGAGATCATGGCGCATACGAGGGAGGCCCCCATGACTTATCATCAAAATGTATAAGCCTGCTCCGCCTCGGCCGAAGAAGACAAACATAACTCGCACACGAACGGGCTGCTTGGAATGCAGAGCACGGCGGGTAAGGGTAGGTTTACACCTTCAAATTAGTTACATCCGTCTAACATGTACTACCAGTGTGATGAAAAAAAGCCCATGTGTGGACGCTGTGAGCGTCTAGGGGGTGATTGCAAACATGACACTGCATTCAAGTTCTATCAGGTCTACAAGCATGAGGCTGCTGAGAAACGTACTGTCAATCATCCCACAGCACGTCAAGTCACAGAAAGCAAGACGCATCTACTGGCATCGTCCACCACAAATGAACAGCTTCCTTTGGTAGGACAAGCAGGCCAAAATGAAACATGGCCTCGGGCTCCTGGGTTACCGCAAAGCGTCATACTACGGGCCAAACCTGCAGAGGCCGTGATGTTTTACTCGACGGAGTGGGATTGGCGATGTCTTGCTTCACTTGCTTCACTTGTTCGCAAAGGCGACATGCTCTCGATCAGATCGTCGCCCCTCTTCGTGGACATCATGGCGGCAGTATCCGCGAGCCATCTCAGCCGAACATCACCGCAACGAAGGCTGCTGATGGGTCCCGGCATGCGCGAACAGAATTTCAGACCTGATCCGGGCCATGAATCCGTAAGTCAAGAAATCTACGGCTCAGTCATGAAGAAGATGGCACGATGGAGTGTGCAAGACTTTGGCGCCCATCCCATTCTGGGCTTGGCTGTCATTACCCTTTTTTGCCTCATAGAATCGTCAATGGGGTCCTTTCAAGCCTTTGGGCTGCACTATGACGGCGCCATCAGTCTCATCAAAGACCTCGCCGCAAGAGGTATTGCTCAGAGGGGCCAGGCGTGCACTCTGCTGGCAACTCTGGTGGAAATCCGGATGCAGATGTGGTGGCGCAGGGTGTACTTTGGTACTCGCGAATTTCACAGAAACCGGCCGAAAGTGTCGCTGGATCCTGTGTTTAGCCATCTTTCAGCATTTGAATCACGGCGTGCATCGATTCTTTCGATACTGTGCGAGTCGCATCGCATCAACAATGCGGCCATCATTGCGCATTGGGACTTGTACTGCCACGCTGACTCGGGCAGCCTTCTTGGAGACGACACCACGGGAAATCTGCAGGAGATGATCGAGCCATTTGTGCAGAAAATCAGATATGAGAAAGACCGACTCGATGCATGGGACGGACTGTTTTCCCTTTCTGGCCGAGTAGAGGATGCAGACATGTTGCATGCCACGGCAGCAACGCTCAAAGTGCGCCCGCTGCACATGCCATCCCACACCGAGGCCATGGACTATGCTTATTACATTGCATCGCGAGTGCTGCAGTGTCCCGGGCCTCTGTATAGCCTATACACACAACGCTCAGAGGAGATGCGCAAAAGGTACACAGAGGTCGAGTCTTGGATACACCTCCTCCTGCGTGTCGTGGCCGGCATGGACTGGCAAGACTGTGTACGGTACAACATGTATACAATCGGAATCACAAGCTTGCTTCTCGCATGTCTGCTTCGCTCCCATGATCCACGCATTGGGTTGTGGTGCGAGAATTGGCTGCAGGGCTGTCTAGATGGCAGCAGTTTTGAGGAGGGAAACTTTCCCTTGTTTCAAACTTCGAGAATTATACGCCTAATAATTGGCCAACGCAGCCAGGAACGCGATATCTTCGGTCTTTTCCAGACGGTCGAAGATGGCGGAGGTTCAGGAAAGTTTGGTTCATATCAAAGTCAGGCCTTGTCGTCCTTGCTGGTATATAGCAGGTGTAGGACGACAGGGCAGCTGCACTCGCATTATGTTTCTATCTGAATATTGGACTAGCTAATCTACCAGCCACTGGCTCTGCACCACACGTCGACAATCTGCGTTTCACGACCAGACAGGTCCGAGTCTACTACCAAATACCACCCGTAAAGAGCACCTGTGATACAGGCGTGATTGGGATAGATTCGAATGCTTTGACCAACGGTGAGGGGAAGGGGATCAATTTCGTACCCGTCAGTGTGGCTATCCCACTCAAGAATGGAATGCTCTTGACTGACTCGGCTGACAATGATTTGCCGGCCGGCCACGACCTCTGACGCGAAGGTTGAGCAGTCGACGACACCCCATCCTCTGTACGCAGCGCATGGCTCCCGTCCGAGAGCAAGGACGCCCGCAGAAATCAATGCTTCTGACTGTTCCCTCTCACCGTCGTTGTACACGCTGCACACCTCAGACACGACGGAGATGGCAATCTCGTCCTCACATCCTCCGAGCTTGGCCCTGGAATTAGTCGCCAGCTGCTGTACGTCCAGTATGGAATACACGCCGGCGTGCAACTCGAGGCTGGTCTGGACACCATATGGTCTGCTGTCCGACACAGCTTGCATCGCAGCGTGGAGTGATTGGGCAGCCGGTGACAGTTTGCCGCTCTCCGTGACGAGGTTTTCAATAGACGACACCTGAGGAGAAGCACCAACGCTAATGGTCAGGGTCTTGCTTCTAGGAAAGATCTCAGCATTTCTTGCTAGGGCCTCGATGCAACCAGTAATCTCGTCCTCGAGATTTGCCATGGCCTGAGCAGGAGTCGAGTCGTTGTAGCTGAGACTGCTGTGAGAGTACAGGCCGACAAAGTCGACTGTGCCCTGCTGATCCAGGGCAATCAGTTTCGAAAGAAGGCTGTCCTTGTTCATGCCCCACGGGGGAAGGCCGGCCCGGTGGTAGCCAGTGTCGACTTTGACGTAGACGCCAGCCGGGAAACCCGCCTCGTCGTGGAACCTAGTCAGGTGCGTGAGCTGGTCTGCATGGTCCACCAAGACGGACAGGCTCTTCCCAAGTTTGCGGCCGAGTGTAGCCAGTCGACTGACTTGGGATTGGGGTAGAGGGATACCGTACAAGACATTTACACAACGTCCCTGGTCTTGATATTCGGCGAGGAGGGGAAGTAGATGTTCAATCTCGGCAATGGTTGAAGCCACAAGTTTAACGTTTTGCGCTTTGTCAACCTGCAGTCTGGTGCCTTGGACTGTCTGTCAAATTTTATAGGTCAGCTCAAGCTTGACAGCCAGCGTTTATCCTTGTCGCATCATCTCTGTGCTTGCCTTGTGTGTTTTGACATGGGCCCGAAAGTCGACGCCCAGAGCATCAGCCGCCGCCGAAAGCGACTGACAGTGACGACGCATCTTTGCTCGATCGAGCACCAAACAGGGCTTGGGCACATTGTAAATGGTCTTGCCAACATAAAATTGGCAAAGGCTCTTCTGGGTTGGGTTGAATCTCTGTGGGACGAACATGGCTGCTTGTTTTGGGTGAGGCGAGAGATGAGCTACCAGGGGCGTGTCAGAAAGCACTGGAAAAGACGTCGCTTTCATAAATGAAATACACAAATGCTGAATAGGTGTCCGATGTCACAGTGCCGAGGGGCTCCAAGGCAAATCAGGCTATACAGTCGGCTTACACTGTGATCAAGAATGGGAATTGACGCTATACCCAATGGAGTGCGCGAGAACGACGAGGCGTCAAAAGTGGTGGAGACGTGGAGAGGCCAGCCAGTCAACAGTGACCACCAGCAGGAATGTGTATCAGAGTAAAGGTTTAAGTAGGGAAAGCAGGCTAGGCACTTTTCTGGAGGAGTTTAGAACTACTTAAGTATAGAGCCAACAGCCTGCTATTTCACGCTAGGACCAGATATATAAACTCGGTTCGGCTCTCGCGGGAGTTGTGCAGCAGTTTCTTGGCTCGTGTACATCACCCACACTTGTCAAAGTCATGGCTCCTCCATCTGATGTGAGTGCCAGCGCTGAATGGCGTCCCAAGGTCGTCATCTTTGACCTTTTGACAGCTCTCCTCGACTCCTGGACTCTATGGAACGCTTCAACACCATCAGGCACAGAGGAGGAGGGCCGTCGGTGGCGCGCACGCTACCTCGAGATTACTTTTCAGCAAGGAGCATATACACCATATGAAGACCTCGTGAGGCAAGCCGCCGCAGAAGCTGGTGTTGCGGTATCGGCACCCGACGCCCTGCTAAGCAACTGGTCCAGGCTCCAAGCCTGGCCCGAGGCATGGGAGGTGCTGCAGCGACTCAAAGCGCAGGGCTGTAAGCTCGGCGTCGTCACAAACTGTTCCAAGAAGCTGGGCGAGATGGCAGCCGCTCAGGCGGCCAGGTCCCCGAGTGGTGAGCAGATCGCCTTCGACGCCGTGGTCACGGCCGAAGAGAGCGGATTCTACAAGCCGGTCAAACAGGCGTACGATGGGATCCTGGAAGCCATGGGCGTCAGTGCCAGCGAGGCGTTGTTTGTAGCGGGCAGCGCAGGCGACGTTCAAGGCGCGACGAATGCGGGCATCAAGGTGGTTTGGCATAACCGGGTCGGGCTGGCGGCCAAGGGCAGCGCGATGCCGTTGCGAGAGAGCAAATCGCTCGACGGCGCATTGGAAGGGTTCATCTAGATCGGGTGTGTGTTTGCTCGTGCTTGGACGAACAATGGAAAGATGACGGATCCAGGAGGATGGGCAGGCGGGGTAATTATGCGCGTTCTCAAGGGGGAAGGCACTGAGTGGCAGTTTCCACACCAAAAAGGCAGTCCCTTAATCAGTACCTGTTATTACAGCGACAAGCTTTATTATTAGGGGGAAGAGAGGCAAGCTGAAGACGGGTACCTAGGTACTCCTTACTTACTCGGTACAAAGACACAGATAGGTAGATTGCTTGCATCTCATGAAACAATTTTAAACAAATTCCTCGACGCATACAAGCTCTAAATCAACCATTCCATACCCGAGAAAAACTCTAATGTTTTTGACTTTGACCTAATAATGCACTTCTTCCTCATCTTCAGCTCCCACAACTCGAGCTATATTGGTCGCTGTTCAAGCTGGCTGAACAGGCACAAGTAGATTGCGTCTTATTGGCTGCCTTTCAGCGCATTGCCCCCTGCTGGCTTGTCGGAAATTGCACTCTTGCCTCAGCACTCCGCCACGACCCCAGGTCCCCAGACATGTGCGCTCTCGGACCAGTCTCCAGTGACCTCTGACCGCTGGCCACTGAACACAAACAAAACATTCGACTTGTGGCATCTTGTCCTGGCTTCTCGTCCTCTTGAAACTTGATCGCGGGTTTGTGGCTTGTGGTTTGCCTCCAAGTTGCCTGCACGTGCCATTGTTCAATCCTCCCAAATTCTCATTCCGTCATTTTCACAATGGCTGATTGCACCTAAAAGCTACTTGGACATTGGCACTACCTACCTCCCACGTTCCCGTACCAGTTCAAGTGCCTGTGCTGTCGCGACTCTCACTTGACCATCGTTCCCTTTGTCTTTTTACTAACTCAGCATACTCAATGGCCACTGAAGGCGTCCAACCCCGCGCCGCATTTCTTCTGTACCTATTCGCCTAATCAAGCCATTCTTCCATGGATCCTGTCATTTTCCAAGAGTCGCCCTTGGCCGACTATCTCAAATGTTAGTGCAAGCCGCTGGCTCCCCTAGCACATTTCGCCATATGCCACTATTTCTATCGTCTGCGCTCAGCTGACTCCTTCGCTATAGATGAGGATGACGACTCTCACGAGGGCTGGGCTGAGGCCGACCGCCTCTCCGAATCACCAACTTCGGCCATGTCCGACACATCACCACCTGCCAGCCCGACTCAATTCGCACCCACCGGGAGACCTCTGGTGAAGCAGCGGTTTAGAAACAGAGCACTCAGACCTCTACAGACCAGCGACAAAGCCTTGACGCCTCTGCGCGCGCTTCGAAGGAACTGCTCTGTATGCCTTCCCACCTTCCCCCCTATTTTTACCCGTCTAACCCCTGGCTTCTAGGCTGTAGTTGCAGCTAGCATGGACAGAGCCGACAACGAAAAATTCCTGGAGCAGTTTCGATATTTAATAATAGCATCTCAGCTTCTTAGTGGCCACACAATCGCGGCTCGACGCCACGCTGGCGCAGAAGCACTAAACGCATCAGCTCAAGGTGATCATTCGATCCTCTCCAACGAAGGAATTGTCGCGTCGATATTAGGTGCCTTGGCTATTGCAGTGGTACTTAGTTGGATTTTTGGGCACAAGAAGGATTCTTACGTGACGAAAAAGCGCCTCATGTTCCTAGTAGCCTTGCTTGCTGTGTCTGGAGCACTCGGTCAGGTTCATATGCGACGACAATGGCTTCGATACCGGAGAGACCAGTCTTTATCCGAGTTGAGTGGCTTCATTGTCAACTCGCACGAATTTGACAGTGTTGTTGAAGCTACATTGGCTTTGGTCCAAGAGGTCGAGCTGGTCTCGCGAGGATATAGAATGTACGGCCCCTGCTTCTTTGCCATTGAAGAAGCCCAAGCTGACAACGCAAGCAGTACCGCGCCACTACCACCCGTTAGTCGTCTCGAAGACAGATCGCAGAGCCGCAAGTGCGTTCGCCTCAGAAAAATCTTGAAAGCACGCCTGGCTGAGGTGCTCCAGCAGTACGACAGATTGGCTGCACCAATCCAGGGGTTTTCTGAGCAAACTGAACTGGAGAAATACTACGACATGTATGACATTAGTGATTTCGATATTCAAGATGCTCGTCAAGGCTACAACGAAAACGAGTTTGAAGACTCGGAATCGTTACGCACCTTGAAGATTTTGGCGGCTCGATTCTATACTGAGCGAAAAATGTTACTTTGTGCCATGTTGGCCCTAGACGCCAGCGGAGAGAAGAATGACTTGCTGCGCTGGACTGCAGCAGTGGAAGCATTACAGGAATTGAACAAGACGACAAAGGCTGCGTACAAAAACATCCAGGACATTCTTAGCGAAGAACAGTGTGAGTGTCATCTAACGAGAAGCGGCATACACCTTGACGCTAACTTTTTGAAGCGTTTCCTATTCCGCCTACACCCAAAATCCCCCTTACCCCTGGTCGAGAACGTTGGCGCGCACAATTACGGAAGCTCGGCTCCCTCTCGAGTGGTATTCGCGGCTTGCAGGCCAAGCTGCACCTGCTACGAGAAGAATCTGACAGGGCCCTTGATGACTCGAACGATATATCAGAGATGGGGCCAAACCTGATGGCCCAATATGATTCCATCGGTGTCGACCTGAAGGAACTGATGGCGGCATGGGAAGAAGGCAAGAACGCACTCGCGGTCGGTATCGATAGAAACGAGAAACGACTGTCATCGATGAGTACTCTGCTGTCACCTCGCAGCTCCATGAGCGGCGTGACATTTGCTGAGGACGGCAACGCAGCAGACGCACTGAAAGCACTGATAGGTGAATCACCGACACGCTCAGAGAAGGAGTCTCCCGTGGTAGACCCCGAAGTTTTTGAGGCAGTGGCCATCCCGAGGGCCCGAAGCATGCTCACCAGAGAAGAGCGCTTAACAAAGATGAAGGAAGACAGAGACCAGAAGGCGCAGGCCCGCCAGCAAATGGATGCGACCAGAGGCATGCTGCGCGAGCTTGAGACTGTCATCAACCTGCGTCCCAAGAATCGCCAGAGCGCTCCGGCTGACAAGACATCGAACCGTGTTGTGTCGATGTAAAGCAGTACTGTGTCCCTCTGCTCACATTCGTTTCACATATTCGACATTTCTTTCTACGGATTCATAATTCGACGTCATTTATTTTCTTATTTACGGCGTTGGGGCGGCTGGACTTGTTCCAATACAACATAGAATAACTTGGTGCGGCAGAATTAAGCCAATGGACTTCACGGCGCAATTTGGCTTGATGTTTTTTAGCAGTAATTGAATGGTTGGCCTGATTACTATCAGTATAGGTTGGTCAAGCCTCAAAAATGAAGAAAATATTACTTGGATATTTATTTGCGGGTGTATGCCTAAAGATGTGCTGTAAAGAAGACTGGCCATTTGTCTTTTCCAATGGAGAAGCTTGTGCATTCGTAGCATCATATTGCATACATGTCCCGAGTAATATTTTTTCTCTCTATTTTTCTCTCAATTCTCCTCTCTAGATTCCTCTCTGATTGCACAGAGTACACGGAAGGCAAAGGCTCGAGAAATTAGACTAGTTGACACGTTATTAGGCTCGTCACAAAGGGCAGCTCCCTTTTTGTACGCCTCTGCCCCGCGGCGCGTTGAAGTGGCGTCAGTAAAGGACCAAAGAGCACCCCGCCGCGACGCGTCTCCGTTACCCACTACAGCTCGCGCGTGTTAAGTGCCTGCTTGAGCGCTGGGCACTTTTTGCACACACTCCCAACTCGTCTTCCTCATTACTCCCATATTGTACCGAACTCAGTCTTCACCTCTGTGGTCTTGCTCCAACTTGCACGGCAACTTCATATCTGTTCACTTCTCTCACATTCTCTCAGTCACATAACCAGTCAGTAAGCTTTCCGACCGCTCCTTCGTGCCGCACCACCACACCAATGGCTGCAGTCGCGACAAGCGAGCTAAGCACGTTGACATACTGACAAAAGCCTTTTTAGATATGTTGGAGGCACGACTCGAACAAGCTAGCATCCTGAAGAAGGTATATCTCTTCTCTTGTCTCACGGCTCATTCGCCCGATCACAAAACAACCGCCCGTCAGTCATGACTTGCTAACCACTGCACGATTAGGTCGTGGATGCCATCAAGGATCTCGTCCAGGACTGCAACTTTGACTGCAATGACTCGGGCATCGCGCTGCAGGCCATGGATAACTCGCACGTGGCACTCGTGTCGATGATGCTCAAGGCCGAGGGCTTCTCCCCGTTTCGGTGCGACCGCAACATTGCGCTCGGCGTGAACCTGACGTCGCTGACCAAGGTTTTGCGTGCGGCGCAAAACGAAGACATTCTGACGCTCAAGGCCGAAGACGCGCCCGACGTGCTCAATATTGTCTTTGAGAGCAGCGAGAACGACCGTATCAGCGAGTACGACCTGAAGCTCATGGATATTGACCAGGAGCACCTGGGCATCCCCGAGACGGAATACGCTGCCACAATCTCGATGCCCTCGGCCGAGTTTAGACGCATCTGCACTGACCTTTCGGCCATGTCCGAGTCGGTCGGCATCGAGGCGTCAAAGGACGGCGTCAAATTCTCCTGCAACGGCGATATTGGTAATGGCTCCGTCACCCTGCGCAGCCACACCAACGTGGAGAAACCCGACCTTAATGTCGACATTGAGTTGACGGAGCCCGTCTCACTCACCTTTTCCCTCAAATATCTGGTCAACTTTTGCAAGGCTGCGGGCCTCTCTGGCCAGGTCAAGATTTGCCTGTCCAGCGAAGTGCCACTGCTTGTCGAATATAACCTGTCGGGTAGCAGTTATCTCCGCTTCTACCTAGCCCCCAAGGTAGGTTTCACGCCCGTCTCTGATTCATGATTATACATGCTAATCTGCTGTCATACAGATCGGTGACGAAGAGTAAGAGTGGCGCCGCCATCGTGGTGGAAACTAGTGTCGAGATGAAGAAGGAGCAAAACAACAACGTACAACGAGGTTACGATGTGGGCGTTGGTTGGATACGGTATCGTCGCAAGATGCGCCTCTGAAGACGGTGGCTTGGGTGAACACAAAATAGCATGGACTAAGAGCCAGGTAAAGCAGAGCGGGCATCATGTATGGAAACCAGAGGTTTGAGGGCACAAGCTCGTACCGGAGGGCGTATTTTACTCGGCACCTAGTTTTACTTTTTTGTTATTCTTGTTTTTTTGGTGAGAGTAGCGCCCCCGCATGCTGGGTGGTTTTGAAGGAACCTCACGATAATGAATGAAAGATGCATTACAAAAAGCAAACAGGGCCGAGTGACGCATGACGCCTGGTTGTACTCCCAGCGAAAAGATGATCACCTGCCATAAAATACTATACACGATGGGAGCAAGTTTGCCGGCTCGAGGTACGACTTGGTCTGGTTGGTGGTGGGGCTCATCAATCAATGTCTGGCCGCAGCTTACATGATGGCATTGATGGCAGCCCGCAATTCCGCCGTGGCCGCCCGAGAGCGCGGTGCTAGTGGTTTCCCCCATTCGAACCGGCGTAATCTTGACTTTGTGATTCGAGAAGCTGCCATTCTCACGCAAAGCACAGTGACGAGGTATCAAGGCTGCGTTGCGCCAGGTTTTTTCGCCTCGCTCCGTTTTGCGCAACCTACGTCATTGGCTATTAAAAAAAAAAGCTGCAGTCCAAGGACTTGCTCCGACGAGGCGGTTGCAACATTCAAGGCTTGGAAGGGGGGGGGTTGCACCGAACATCACCTATCGTTAGCAGCCTCGTCTTTCGCGGCGAAAGCCGCCTTCAGCAAGTTGTCTTTTGGCTGAGCATTTCACTGCGGCTTCAATCAGAGTGGCTTTTTTTTTTCCCTCTCATCATTCTTTTCTCATTTCTTGCCGAAAATCACGAGCAGTTGATAGCACCTTGTCGCGCGAGATTTTTTAAGCTGCTGGCAATCAAAATGTCTGCCGCTCCGATTGTGCCGGCCACACGGGTTTTGGCCGTCGCGAGCCACGTGAGTCTCTGCATAGGATGCCTTGAACGTGACAATGAATCGCTAACCATGCAGTCCAGGTTGTCTCGGGGTAGGAGAGCGCTGTTTTCTTGAAAACCCCCGACAACGGCATGTGGATTGCGGAATAACTGACAACTTTTTGGTAGCTATGTCGGCAACAAAGTCGCCGTCTTTGTGCTGCAGTCTCTGGGCTGTGACACGGCCGCTCTCAACACGGTACAGTTCAGTGCGTTTTTTCCCTCTGTTCTTATGATCCCAGGCTAGCGAAGACGAGGAAAACGCTCATCGTCCACAGGCAACCACACGGGGTACAGGCATTGGACGGGCACAAAGGCCACGGCGCAGGAAATCAGCGACCTGTACCGCGGCCTCAAGGACAACTACATCAACGACTTTGACATGATGCTGTCTGGCTATATTCCCGGCGCCGAGGGCGTCCTCGCCGTGGGAGACATTGCCAAGGAGCTCAAGGCAGCCAACAAGGAACAGCCAGGCAGCTTCTTCTGGGTGCTGGACCCGGTCATGGGCGACAATGGCAACTTGTACGTGGCTGCCGATGTCGTGCCCGCGTACAAGTCGCTCCTTTCCTACGCCGATCTCATCATCCCTAACCAGTTTGAGGCCGAGTATGTGCCCCCTTTCCCCCCCCCCCCCTCCCGGCCCAATTCTTTCCCTCTGCGCCTCATCCTGTCTGTTGTCCTCCGTCGCTGACCATGTGTTTTGTGTCGTCCACAGACTACTCTCAGAAGTCAAAATTACAGACATGGACAGCCTAGCCGCCGCCATCCAGGCCCTGCATGAAAAGCATCACGTTCCGCACGTCATCATCACTTCGGTCAACATTTCCTCGCCCGACATTCCCGCAGACCATCTCTGCGTCGTCGGCTCCACCATGACGTCCACCGGCCGCGCCCGGCTTTTCAAGACCGTCTTCCCCAGCATCGACTGCTACTTTTGCGGCACGGGCGACATGTTTGGCGCGCTCGTCACGGTGCGAATGCGCGAGGCCGTCGCCGCCACGTCCGGCGCCGGCGTCACGGCCCGCCCCAGCTGGGTGAGCGACGATAGCGTCGCGGCCGTGGATCTGCCGCTGGCCCGCGCGACGGAAAAGGTGCTCGCGAGCATGCACGAGGTGCTCACGCACACAAAGGACGCCATGCCGGGCGTCGTCGATCGCACGCTCGCGGCCATGACGGAGGACGAGCGTCGGGGCGACAAGCAAAAGATGCTGGCGGGGAAGAAGGCGGCGGAGCTGCAGCTCGTCCGCAACTTGGACTGTCTCCGCAGGCCACAGAAGAAGATTGAAGTCCGTCCGTTCTAGCGATTGGCTGCTCTTTTTGTGAGGAGTTTTGAGAGGGGTGGGAAATGCATGCATGGTACATGAGGAGGATAGATGAGAGATGCACAGGCTAGACACGGGAGCATTATGGGTAGATTTTTTGCATTCCTTTTGCTGTTTTAGATATATATTTATGCATATATATCATCAATCGTTTTGTGAATTTGGTCGACGTAGTCTAAATGCATATACCAATTATTCTGTTCCTTGGACCTGCTTTCCAGTATTGCTGTCATGACATCGTGCCATTGCTCTATCGAAAAACTTCTATCCCCCGAATCCTTGCCATCTTCATGCCCCCCCTCCATGTTTTCTTTCTCAATTCGTGTTGCCGTAGCCGGTACTGCCAAACCCGCCCGCACCACGCACACTCTCCTGGAGCTCCTCAACCTCGACAACGTCGGGCGTCACGATGCGCTCGAGGACGAGCTGCGCGATGCGGTCGCCCTCTTTAATCGCGTAGTCGGCCTCGGCGTGGTTGAACAGGAGCACCTTGACTTGACCGCGGTAGTCGGCATCAATCACGCCCGCGCCCGTGTCAATAAAGTGTTTCGAGGCCAGGCCTGAGCGGGGAGCGATGCGGCCGTCTGGGAGAGAGAGAGAGAGCGCCGTTGATTAGTACAACACATTATTAAACCAGGAGGGCGGGTTTTTATAAAAAAAAACAAAGAAAAAGGCAGACAAGAGGCTAAAGGAGGGGAACACGTACAGGTACCAGCAGGGACGGCAATGCTTATGTCAGTATCGACGAGCACCTTGCCGCGCGCAGGCACAGTCGTGTCCTTGGCGGCGTACAGGTCGTAGCCCGCGGCGAACGCGCTGCCTCGCGTGGGGAGTCGTCCGGCGGGGGACAGCTTCTTGACCTGCAACGAGGGGACTTGCTCGGTAGCAGCAGCAGCAGCAGCAGCAGGCATGGTGGTGGTGGTGGCTTCGTCGGTCTTGACGCGCTTGGCGGGTGGTGAGGACACGGCTGGTGCAGATTCAGAGGCCGAGGTCATGTTTGGTAATAAGAGAAAGAAGAGCTGGTGAGTTGTTGGCGAAACAGATGGTTGGTGGTGGGAATGGAATGGCGGTAGGTAGGGGTCCTAGATAACAATAGCAGAGAGAAGACGCGTGACGCGAACTCGGAGCGCGTCAGGCATTTGGCGTAAAGTGGTTTGGGCTGTGGTGGGGAAGTGAAGTGGATTAATGCGAGGGCGAGAGGACTGATAGATTGATAATTATGATTTCGGAATACAAGGGAGGAAAAGAGCAGTTTTGGAATTAGGGCGGCGCCTTTGATGATGAACTTGTATTATGCTGCTGTGTTGTTTCAATGATCTTGTTGATTGGCTAATCAATTGGCATCTTTAGTTCCAATTACACCATTTCACCATAGCAGTGAACTATTGGCCACTCTCAGCACGGGAGCATGAGCATGCACCATTTTGGTCTCTTGCTGTCCCCAGCCTTGCATTTACTATGGTTTGGCAGCAATCATGAAATTAATTATTATCCAATATACATCGCCAAGACAAAAGGCCTATGTATGATATTTGGCTGGTCGTAGCTTCTCATCGGATTTTCTGCTCGACGCATCCTCATCGTCTTCACTTTCCGCGTCGTCTAGCGCGAAATAGTCTTCATTGTCCTCGCCTCTCCAGTCAGTCGCCGCCGTCTTGAGCTTTACCTGATCTTGCTGGCGCTTTTTCTTGGCAATGTATACGATGGCCACCAGCGCCATAAGCTCGGTCGCAATCAGAGCCACCAGCCCGTACAGTCCCAGTCTTGCCAGGCCAAACAAGATTGAGCCGGTAATGGCATTCGTCCAACCTCCGAGCAGGATACCCCAACCGAGTGACATGTGGCCGTACGATACCCAGGTGCGGCGTCGAATCTTGACAAACTGCACGTGGTGCCACCAGCCCGACGCCGCTTGTACGAATGAGAGTGCAAAGACGGCAAGGCCAATAACTTGGTGCGCGGAGCCAAAGAGGTCCCCGCGGCTCATGTAAATGCCGAGTGCGGCGCCGACAGCGGCAAAGCACATGGCGCCGGCTTGAATCATCCAGTGGTACTTGAAGGCCTTGTCGAGACCAGAGCGGATGCCGACGACGCCAAGGGGAAATAGAGCGAGGAATGCGATGAGCATGACAAAGGCGTGAATGTAGGCAGCGGGGCGTGCTCGGATCCTCTGGAAGAACGAAGGCTTCTTGATGAGAATGCGTGAAGCGCTCGCGTTGATATTATTCTGGTGTTTGAGGACGGCCGGCGGACCGGTGGCGTGGTGCGTCGAGGCGGCCTGCAGATTGGCATAAAAGTTGCCCCATCCGTTGACGCCGACGTGTTTGCGCAGCGGCTGGTCCCAGGCATAGGGTGCCATGTCCTCGAATTCGTTAAAGGCCCAGATCATGGCTTGCGACGTCTCTTCAGCGTCGACGGCATGGCCCAGCCACTTGGTGCAGCTATAGCAGGCGAATTGGGCAACGCCAAGATGCGTCCCGTCCTCGCCAGTCTTCCACTCGCCAGCGCCGATTTGCTGCACAAGCACGCCGGAATTCTGGCTCGGGTCGTCCTGAGAGAGCACGGCTGGCTGCTCGTGGCCGTGGGCGAGTTCGACGCCGCGAGCGCTCACCACCGGGCCCTTGTTGGTGACGGGGTCCCCGTATATGAGAAACATGAGCGATCCAGACATGACGGCGCCAGAGCCAATGGCTAGCCAACCAGCGCTAGCGAGCGTGTCGTTGGCGGGCCGGCTCACCTCGACGGTCACGAGCATGTCGTGCGCCGCTGTGGAGTGGTTGTGGTACATGTTGGCGGCCACGCAGAACCGGGGGCCGTGATCTGCCCAGCCGTCGACGCAGAATTGCGCGATGGCGGGGGTCTTGTCGTGATGCGCATGGCCGCCGTGAGGATCTGGGTTGGCAGCGACAGAGGAGCAGAGCGCCGCAGCACCCGCTAGAGCCAGCTGCCAGAGTCGCTGCATCTGCGACATTTGGGGTTTTGCCTTGTTACACGCTGCTGACTCGGTGGCGATACGCGGGATGCGGGCGGAGCGGACGATGCAGAGGACAGACGGGTAGATGTAGATGTGAAAAGAGTTGAGATGAAAAAAGATGGGATGAAATCTACCTCCCTGGGCATCGCCAGCCTCAATCCTCAGCTGCAAGACAAACAAGACAAACAAGACCCCCTGGAGCACTGGTACTACCTAACGCTACGCATACCTAGGAATATTTCAGGCATATTTTTGTTGGAGTGGCTGAGCCTGCTGACCACGCAGCTTTTAAGCAAATCTAAGTGGCTACAGGGACCTGCGAGCTGCACAGTCACTCAATACCATGCACGGTCAGCACCTTGATGATGTATGCTGTAATAAAACTGATAAAAGGGCTCTTTTGCTATCGTGTCATTATTTGCTCCCGTCCTGATTTGGACTGTCCAGGCACTGCCAGGCAGGCACAGCGGACACAGCAGGGAGCAAACAGGTCGGGGGATGGTTGGCATCATAATTAGCGCAATCATGCTCATACTGAACCTCTGCAAGCAAACGATGCAATTACCTCGTGCAGCTGAGGCCGCCTCGGTTGAAGCCCACTGGAACAAAGTTATTAGCATTCTCTTGTGATAACAGGGGTGCTGCATGGCACCCATCCCGAACGACAGCTTGGGGTGATTTTCTCGTCATGAACTATTATTATTAGACCGCTACCTATAATCAAAGGTAGTGCTATTCGCACAAGTGCTGGTTGCGCCATACCCAGCCTAGGTTCAATGATCTGTCTAGAGATGCACAGTAGGAAGCGCCTGTCTCTAATCATTCCAAAACATTACGCACCTTTATGTCGCAAATATTACCGAGTAATCCGTACATCTGATCGAGTTCCCGCTCATAACCCTGCTTTTCCTACACGTCGTACGACTAGATTTTTCCCCATCACCATGCGCTTCATCCCGTCTTATTCTTCTAGTTCTCTTCCAAAGTCAATCAGCTTGATCCTTGAAATATCTCTCGGGTGGTATTGGGCCACTTTCGATCGTATTAGGAACCGAACGGCTGCAGACTCGCGTCCAATTGTCACATACGCGTCCTCTGTGTTCCCCGCTGCCTCTGTCATTTTATTGAGAAGCTGCTCTGTGAGCCAGCGCATCTCCTCCGCCGCAGCTTCTACATCGTTCAGGGGTCGTCTTCGCTGATCATCGACTGTTGCGCGTCGGGCGCCGGCGCTATCCCTTGAAGTTGCCCATATCTCGTCGATGCGCCGCTGCCCTTTGTCTCGTCCAGCATCGCTTCTGCCCGTCTTCCTGAGCTTGCCTTGCGCAGTGAACCCGGCGGCAAGATCCCTGGCGTCAACGTCCATCAAGTCTCCCACTACTGGGCCGCCCATTTCCTCGGCGACGAGGAGCGGCGCAAGCTCACGCTCCATAAAGGCAAGAAGATCAATCATGAGTTGTCGTTTCCTTCTGCTGTAATCCTTGGCTCTCTGTTTTAGCTCCGCCCTCTTCTCGCTCACTGCGTCGCCAGGTGTAACGTCCGCATTTGTATTTAGCTCCTCTTGTAACGACGCTATTCGAGCTGTGAGGGCTTCGTGGATCAGATTTTGGTCCTTGAGCGCCGCGCGATCAGCTTCTAGCTGCTTCCTTTGCGCTTCTTGTGACTTGGTTTGCTCTGCCACAAGTGCATTTGAACCTTCAACGACAGCATGCGTCTTGCGCATAGCTACTAATGAGGGAAGTAAAGAGCCCGCGATGGGGACAAATGGCTCTGCATTTGTGACTTGATCAAGCGCGGCAGTAATCACCTGCACTTGAGCTATTGGTGATAGAATGGCCGCTTCTTGAGAAGCGCGTAGCTGAGACGCGTTAGAAAGCGTTATTGTGCAGTGTGTGAGGACATACGCTATTTAATTGCTGTTCACGCTCTCGGAGTTCGTGTCGTAGCTCTCTGAGTGTGTATTCAAGATTGTTGGCATGAGCGCGATCCTCGGAAGGCGCCATGGCTGTTATAACATGGAGTGGTCAACTGATGACCTTTGACAGCAGATCATTATTGTAGCTTCGAATTTGTATTATAACTGTCGCACCAAATGTTCAACATGGTCTGTCCAGGGCCAGTATGAGTAGGCGTCCATGTCCATCAGCGCGTACCGCGTCGTGACAGCTGCTAGTTCTGTTGTAAGATTCGCACTGTATTTCTAGGCCTTGCCAGCTCAGAGGATACACCAAGACATCGACTGATGGTGCTGCTCAGCCTCCACAAACCTGGCAGTTGGGCCACAATTCGCACTGTACCCACCGAGCGAGCTGTGCGGCGTCCCCAGACAAATACCAGGCGGGCACGTGACTGTCTGAATGGGGCGAGGGCAGGAACGAGTCGGGGGAAATTCCAAGGAGGTTCCCTCCTTCCTTTGCGACGCGCGACCTTGCTTCACCCCCATCATCATCATCCCTGGCCACGCTCTCTCGAGGCTTGCGTCTCATCTGGTTACCGCTGTCGCGAGCTGTAAATCAATTGGCGCCGACTATTTTTGTTCCGCGACCGACGACGCAGACGGACGACGACGCATCAGATCCTTTACGGAAAGCTCTGCGCCACTGAGCACCGTTGGGCTACCTACGCACTAGCTCCCGCGCGCATTCTGCGACAGGCAACCTCCACCCAGTATCTCCAACCAAGCACCCATACGTGACACGAAGCAAAGCGATAGCGATTCTGTGACAAGGTAGCGACGAGAAAATAGAAGGAAAATATTTAGGTTTGAGTCGAGCGCTTGCCTCTTCCCTGTCCACGAGAATTTCCTCCGTCCTCGATTCGCTGCACCATTCTCTTCCCTCATCAAGACATTCAACTCTCCATCTCGTCTCATCGCCCTTCCTCTCCTCTATATCAGAGTCATCTCCGACACCATTCTCGATCACGGCTTCGCACATTCCTCCTGCCTGAGCTTCTCAGAGCTTTCCTCTCTGCCATCTCTCTCTCAGCCCGTCCTGCCCAAAGGCTGCTCGACACCACTTCACGAAGACTTCACACGACTCGAGCTCCTCGACCCCGTCACTGCACCAGCACGTTTTCCTCCTGAAAACCCCCTGAGTGTAGATAAGACGATTCAATAAAAATCCAATCTAAACGACTTTTCCTGTTAATGCTGAAGAAGGAACTCGTGAAACCTTGAGCCATGTCTTCCTCACCGCCACAGCCGACTCAGTCGACGAAGCGACCTCTAGAGGAGGCTTCCTCTCCTTCTCGCGCTACAGACCAACCTGACGCGAAGCGTCCCGCGCTCGACAAGATTCTGAAGAACGATGGCGAAGTAAAGAACACCACGGCGTTGGAGGATGCCGTCGAAAGCGCCGATAAGCACGGCGACGAAGCTTCGAACGGCGTCAAGTCAGAAACCGAGACCACCACTGTCGATGTCAGTGCCGACGACAAGGTGGCGGCGGCAGCCGGTGCTGCTTCGTCTTCTGCCGCCGCGCACGACGAGACATCCTGGATACACATTCGCGCCGTCATATCCAGCCCAGAAGCCGCTACTATCATTGGCAAGGGCGGTGAGAATGTTTCCAACATTCGCAAGATGTCAAATGCCAAGTGCACCGTCAGCGACTACCAAAAGGGAGCCGTCGAGCGCATCTTGACAGTCAGCGGCATCGTAGACGCAGTTGCCAAGGTAGGCTCACAGTTCTTCAATGTGCTATTCATCACGCTAACCTGTCCTTAGGCTTTTGGCCTGATCATTCGTACATTGAACAACGAGGCTCTGACGGAAACCTCGACCGCCTCATCAAAGACGTACCCGCTGCGTCTGCTTATTCCCCACATTCTCATTGGCTCTATCATTGGAAAGGGTGGTGCTCGCATCAGAGAAATCCAGGAAGCGTCGGGGGCTCGACTTAATGCTTCGGATTCCTGCCTCCCCATGTCCAGTGAGCGCTCGCTGGTTGTGATGGGTGTTGCCGACGCTGTCCATATTGCAACGTACTATGTCGGCTCGACCCTTCTTGAGCAACTCAACGAACGTTTCGGCGGACCTGCTGCGTCTGCATATGCGACTAGAAGTGGTGCGCCCGCTGGCTCTATTCCTGGCGGTATGCAAGTAGTGCCGTATAGCCCCCAGCCTGCCTCTGGTCAGTACGGTCGCAGCGAAAACTATGGACGCCACTCCGAACGTCGCCCCCCGATGCCACCTCCTGCTGCCTACCCGGCGCAATACCCGCCTCATGCCGGCGCTCAAGCCGCGGTCCCCAGCATGCCTCTGCACTACGGGGCGCAGGCAGGTGGTTATGGAGCAGCTGCTCCCCATGTTCAGCAACACATGCCACCACACACTGGCGCGCAGCCTCACGGTGGTCCTCAGGCGCAGAACATGCATGCCGGCATGCCCGGTGGCCCAATGACACAGCAAATCTATATCCCCAACGACATGGTCGGCGCCATCATCGGCAAGGGTGGCCAGAAGATTAATGAAATACGGCAGCTCAGTGGCAGCGTGATTAAGATCAACGAGCCCCAGGACAACAGCAATGAGAGACTGGTTACAGTTACAGGCACTGAGGAGTGCAATCGCATGGCCTTGTACCTGCTTTACTCTCGCCTTGGTAAGTTCCGAGCAGGACACATTGACAATACAATGACTAACCAGATTACAGACTCGGAGAAGCACAGAATGTAAACTGCGCAAATCAGGTGCGTACGGAGAGGGTATACGACGATTTTTGGACGGTGTTTGTTCAACTGGTGCTTCTTTACTTTTGCTTTGGTCTTTACTGTTTTGTGCGTGCCAATTTGTAGTCGTCGCGGTCGAATTCAAGGAGACTTATGAAACTTCTGTATCGATTAGTATGGGGTTGTTCTAACGGCAGTCTTCGGATTATTGGAGTTGCATTTCAAATCATGATTCTTCAGCGAGCTGAACGCGGATGATGACGAGAAACACGTGTAGTAATTGGGTGTCCGGTAAGAGACGTCAATGCAGCAGTCTATTCAATAAGGTACGCGTCATGTTTTTGTTGCGCATTCCTATCTGCTGCCCCTAGCATTGACAAGTACGAATCTATATCGAGACGGTCTATAGAGTTTGGAGTTTTCATAATTTTGACTGCTCTAGAGTTGTCAAAGTTCGCAGCGGCGGTCCGCCCCGGCTTCCATCGCCAATCTTGATCTCACTCGCCTCCGAGTCTGGACGCATACGCCACTGGTGTCTCAAGCTCTGGCTCGCCTTGTTCTCAAGACAATCGACAATATACCTGCCCAGTACCGGAAGAAATTTGAATCCACTACGATGTTGTCAGCTCAACTAGATTCAAGTTTTGGCAGCACGAACTTGTGCACACAAAGATGGCAACTTACTGTCCCGAGCCGCCCGTTGCCAGAAAGAGCCCCTCGACCTGTGGATGGTTGTCGACGATGAAGTCACCCTCGGGAGTGTCCGAGTACCAACACAAGCGCAGCCTCGACCATGGTCGCTCCGCAAACTCGGGCACCAGGTCCCGCAGCCCATCGCGCAGCCCTTGTTGCGCGTCCTCGGGCATGAAGGAAGTGCGCGCATTGTTGGCGTCCCGGCGCGGGCAGGAGAGGACGCTCGGCGGGGTGCGCCCGTCATCGACTGTTTCCGCAGTCGCATACCCGTAGCCGTGACGGGCAATCTTGAGGATATTTGTGCCCGGCGTGGGGGGGAACACAAACACGCCCTTGTTGGCGTTGATCATGACGGGCATGCCCCGCAGCGTGGCGGCCTCGGCATCGGTGAGCTGGATGAAGCCCACGGGCTGCGCCGAGGCGGAGCTTGCGTGGGTGACGCGGAGCAAATGGTTCGTCCAGGCGCCGGTGGCGAGAATGACCAGGGAAGCGCTCATGCGGCTGCTGTCGAGGAACTGTACGCCAGTCACGCGCGAGCCGTGGTATACCAGCTTCTTGACCGTGCCGCGCCTCCCAGAGACGATGGAAACCCCTGCCTGGCTGCATCGTCCCGCCAGCTGTCCGATGCTGGCCGCTGCGTCGGCCCACCCGCCCTTGGGGTTGTAAAAGGCCTTGAATCCCTCGAGTTTAGCCGGGATGCCGGGGACGCGCTGCCGCATGTCGGCGGCGTCGTCGTACAGCTCAATGGTGCGTCCGAGCTTCTCGTCGACTGCGACGCAGTGGCGCGTGTACTCGAACTCGGGCTCCTTCGCCTCGTTGAGCATCACGAAGCCGCACTGGTGGTAGTGGTCCGGGTAGTCGGCGGCCCAGCCGGCGACGGCCTCGCGCGCCATGACGCCGTACAGACGGTCGCCGTAGTCGAAGCGGATGATGCGCGAAAGGTCCACGCTGCTGCCGTCGACGGCCGGCGGCACGAAGCGGTCGAGCACGGTGACGTTGGTGTATCCGCGCTGGGCAAGCTCGAGGGCGGTGGAGAGGCCAAAGACGCCGGCGCCGACGATGATGATGGAGTCTGCCTTGGCAGGCGGAGGTTTAGGCGACATTTTTTTTCTTTTTTTTTTGGTTTCTTTGTTGGTGCAGACTGTCTCACTGATTGTAGTAATTCTTATTGAAATTTCTCAATTCGAAGGATTGAAAAGTGAATCAACACCGCCGCATCGTCTTGTTTATATAAGACTTGGGTGGATGGGCATGAAGTAGTTGAGTGGGCGCGCGCCGAGACGCGGAGCAAGTGCGCCGTGCCCACCACGTCCCGCATCGGAAGGCTCACTTATGGCCTGTTCGCCCACTGTGAGACACCGCGAATAGGCGATATATAAAGTGTTGGTAGTGTATTTTTAGCGAATGCGAGTCTGCGCCTATAAAGTCCCCTGGATAGACATTTCTTCAGTACTTGTTGTGTTGTTGCGCTTGCGCTAGTTCACTGGAGCTGGAAGCGGATGGAGCATAGCACATAGCTCAATGGTCTTCAATGTACTGGTGTTTGCGGCGCAAATCTGGGTTATGTCATAAAGTCAAGTCATGGGGAGAAAGATGAACTACGGAGAATGAAGGGTGCACGAGTGATTCTTAGACGAGGCTTCATTAGCCCTGGGAGATGATGTGCCGGGTAGGTGGCCTACAACGAATGTGGCCGTCGAGAGCTGCTTGTTGTTGCAGCTAGCCCAGAGTTGACTGGTATCTAAATGCGAAAAATAACTCTACACCGCAAGATTCCGGATAAGCCATGGATGTCAAAAACACTCACAGTTTTTTTCACTTTGTAAGTAGCCAAACTACTATTGGAAGATTAGCCTATGTAAAGCGCGAGGCAGCAGCTACGTGTGCACCAGAACTGTGATTCGACAACAGCATTTTCCCTACCATCTCATCGTTGCACGACCTCAAACCTTGGACCTGTCAGTTTTAGTTGATTACATTACCAAATACCCTTTCTCAGTTTCCAAGGTCACCTCTCTCCCAAGTCCTTGCCCACAGCAGACAACCCGGCAACTCCACTTGTCGTTGAACACTGGTACAATGACTTGTCTTGGAGCGCACTCTCTCGCTTCCGTGCTAATCTTAATTGCGCTAACCATGTTTATCAACTTGTGATGTCGGGAAGAGTAATTCGTAAGGCGGCCTTGGGGGGGGGGGGGGGCAATCTTGACACCTTTTGTCTTGAAGCCACATCCACTGAACACATGATGCTGCAAAGACCAAGACGTCAACAGTGAGATTGACGTGGCAAGCTACACGACAGTACAAGGAGCCACATTTAGTGTACTTTTAATGCTTTCTTGTTAGTTTTCCCAAGCGAGAATCAGGTCAACCAGCGGTCATCGGAGCTTCTGTGGGTACGGATACGGATCCAGGTTCTCCGTCCCCACACGGCCCGTTCAGCGCCGATGGGGGCTCACGGGGTCCCACCGGCCCGGGATCTCGGCCGGGGTCTTGTAGCAGCCCCGAGGGATGCCAAGAAGCGACTGAGCAGAAGATTTTGTTTATAATAGAGAAGAAAAGTCGTTTGTGAAATAAAGGCCCAGGTGAGCAACGAAAGAAAGCTGCCCCCCCAAGCTACACGAATTGATTCGAATCCCCCCCCCCCCGCCCCCCGGTTTTTGTATTCAAAGATTATAAATTCACCATGAGCTGGTTCCGCCGTGGCAAAAGTCGAGCATCAGTAGCTGATGGCTGTGATGGCAAGGCCACGCCGGCGCTACCTGCAGCATGGTACAGGTCGCCGGCCATGTACGAGCTCGAGCGGCGGGCCATTTTCTCCAAGAAGTGGCTACTCGTCACGCACAAGCTGCGCTTCCCCGACACGGGCAGCTATGTCCAAATCACCGAGGCCGGCTATACGTTTTTTCTGATTCGCGACCGACAGGGCAACATTCGGGCGCATCACAACATTTGCAGGCATCGCGCATATCCAATGGTGGACAAGGAGTCTGGCAAGGTGTCGGTTCTTGCATGCAAATATCACGGTTTGTTGTTACACTGTAGAAGCCGCCAACCCACAATTGGATTCTGATTCTTCTTGAAATCAACAAAAAAACAGGCTGGTCATATGGTTTCGATGGGCATCTAGCCAAAGCGCCCAAGTACCAAGAAGTTGCCGGCTTCAAAAAGGAAGACAATGGGCTATACCGCATCCACGTGCACGTCGATGCGCTCGGGTTTGTATACGTCAACCTGGACGCCGGCGAGGTTCCCGCCGTGTCCTGGGGTCAAGATTTCGCCACGGTAGATGAGCAGCCGCGGCTGCGCAAGTTTGACATGACGAGATACACATATGACCACAGCTGGGAGATGACGGGCGACTACAACTGGAAAGTCCTGGCCGACAACTACAACGAGGTAAGTTCGTCCAGAGATGCAAGCCGCGCGCGGGTGCCTATGGGATTGATAAAAGATAACGTTTTATTACAGTGTTATCACTGTCCTACCGGTCATCCGGCGCTGCCGGCCTTGACAGATCTCGCCAAGTACTGGGTCGAGACGGCCGGGGCGCACATCCAGCACTACGCCGTCGACAAGACGGACCCAGAGGTCAAGAGCCTAGGCAATGTCAGCACATTCTACTACCCGAATGCTTCCTCTACAGTCACGTACGCTTTTTATATTTTTTTTTCTTCTTTTTTTTCTTTTCATTTCTTTCAAATTGATTCTTTTTTTTTTAAAAAAATTGTCCATGTTTTTTTTGTTTCATTCTTTGCTGACAGAAAAAAAAAAAAAAAAAGTCCCCATTTCTTCTTTATCCAGCGCTGCGTGCCCGTCTCGGCCACGCAGACGCACATGGAGTACGAAGTATACCGCAGCATCGACGCTACCGAATCCGAATTTGTCGAAATTTCCGACTTTTTCAAAAACATCATGATGGAGGATAAAGAATTGTGCAACGGCGCGCAAAGAAACCTCAATGCGGGGATATTTCTCAACGGCGAGCTGCATCCTCGCGCAGAAAAGGTAACAAAGTCCTCCCCCCCCAAAAAACCCGCTCGGGGCGGTGCTGACAAGATGGCATAAAAAAAAAGGGACCTCTTTATTTTCAAAAACTGACGAGAAATCTCGTCACAAATCATTATGAAAGCGAACAAGCAAAGGGACAAGAGATTTGGCCGGCAGTGCCGACACATTGCGTCTCGGATACGATTCAAAAGGATGTGGATTTGTGCAATAAGCTGGATTGTGCTGGGAATGGCAGTGTCAACGCTGAATTGGCATGGTAAACTAGGATATTACAATTTCATATTCGAGCATGGCCTAGTAATTCTTCTTTCTGTGTAATCTTTTATCATTAGTTGGCCAATTTGCCCGTCATTCTCTGGCGTTAAAATGAATCATGGCTCAGCCAGGTATCAATTGCCTTCCCAAAGTCATTTGCTTGCAAAAACAGATGCTCTTCGCCATCCAAGCCACCAATTCCCTCAAAGAAGCGATCTTCCACCGACACCAGCATAGCACTAGCCTCACCACCCATCTCCTCCATGCCGCCACCGCCCACCAGCACGCCCGACGCGGGAGGCGCGTCCTCGTTGGGCGCATACGCCGGCGTCTCCTTGGACACGGCCTTGTGGCCAGAGATGCCCGCGGAGCCGACCAGGTCAAACTCTGCGGCGGCGCGCACGTCGTCCTCGCGAATCTCGGTGCCGACCTTGAGCGTCTTGCCAAAGATGGACTGGTCGGCACCGGCATCGGGCCGGCCGGCCCGCTCGTAGATGAGAATGTCCCAGAGCAGCTGGGCGTCAATGGAAAACGAGTCGCGGTCGTGGGGGAAAGCTCCGTGTGCCCGCGGAGAGTACAGTAAGCCGACGCTGTCCCGTAGCTTTGCCAGGTTGTTTGCCTCGATGCATATGTTTATTAGACATTTGTGCCGGAGAACTTTGGGGGGGGGGGGGGGGGAGGTGCTGCTAGCGGTACGTACCATGGTAGAAATATAGGGCCAAGTGCCGCCCATTCGTCGTAGAAAGCCAATGCATTTCTCAAAGCCTTGTTGCGCCTTGTCACGAAGAGGCCTGTCTTCGACAAAGCTGTGCTGCAAGTGAATAGTCGCCACAACCGCAATGCAGTGCGCCATTGCTGGATCTGCAATCTGGAAAGACTTCTTCTCCAACATGTTTATAAAGTACATGATCCATCCCGCATGACGATTTATGTACTCGAATGAGTGATGTATAAAAGACTGGGGTAATGTCTGCCGGAAGTTCTTCAACCGCATCGACAGCAGGAACGGGTGGTTGACGATGCACGGAATCACAGCGTAAATGATTTGGATGTAGAGCCAAGGACCCCAGTAATCCCGTTTCTGTTCTAGGTCGTGGGTGTCCTGCTCGGCAAACTTATTCGCCGCGAAGCGATACCGTAATGGCACGCGACAATCAAACTCGAGGTGCAGATTCATGACGCTCGAGTAGTCCGAGTGCTGGTTCCACGGCGGCGGCGCGTCCGAGCCCACGCGGCAGGCCGCATACGACCGCGCCATGCGCCACGCCTCGCTGAGCTCCAGCACATACTTCATGATGCCAGAGTCCATTTGGCTGCTGCCCGCATCATGCACCGAGCTCGAGGGTTCGCGGCCGGAGAGGGCGGCGGCGTGGATCTGCGAAATAGGCGGTGGCTGCCCACCGATGAGAGCGCTGCCGGGGCCCGTGGCGGGCGCGATGCACCCTTGGAGGTTCTGAAGCATAATGATGCTTCGTACGCAGTCGTTGAACTCGTCGGCGTCGCCCAACATGCTGTTGGACTGGACACTCTGCGCCAGGTGGCTGGCAATGGCCACGTGTAGACCTGCCTGCGCAATGTTTCCATCTGCAAGATTAGCCCAAGGCCCTGGCTTGTTATTCAAGACTAGCATTACCTGCAAATTCAACCATACTCAGGATACAAAGAGTCTGCAGCGTGGAAAGTTCGACAGCCGAGCTCGCAATGCGGTTCATCACCGCGCTTCTCGACTCGCGCTCCATGGAATCCAGCTTCTCGCGCTTCTGCGGCGTCAGTGTGCTCGGAGGATACCGCAGGCTGAGGGCTTGCAAGGCCAAAGTGAGCTCCAGGTCCCGAAAGGTGAGGGAATCAAGAAACGTCTCCGGCTTGAATAGCGCAATGGGCTGTCCGTGACACCATGCGAGGTAGAGTCGGCCCATGGTGAGCATGTTTTCCTTTGGTATCAACAGGTTGCTAGTGGACAGGTTATTTACAACCGCATCGGACCAAGGGTCTGCGTTAGTATACCTGAGTGAAACGCCGCTGTCGTTGTTCCAGTTCCAGCAAGGGACATCGTCCACGCTGACGGTTCTCCTCCTCCCTGGTCTGCTGCCGAGGTGCTGATATGGTGTCGCAGACGGGCGAGACGGCATATTGACAGGACTGGATATTTCATCAGTACGCACTCTTCCTTCTTGGTGCGACTCTTACCTGACTCTCTCAATGAGGTGATCCATCTTCTCTTCCAAACTATCAATCCGGTATTCCTGTCACGACTCATTCTCAACATGGTGCGACTGGCGCGACGTTGCTGTGTAGTCATACCATCTTTCTATTATGCCTCAAAGACCCTTGGTCTGCAGCAACACCACCGGCATTATAGACGCAGTGCTGTCCCAGCCGCTGGCAATACGAACAGATTGGCCTCTCCCCAGGGCATTTGGACTTCTTACGTCTGGCATCGAATTAGCAAGGACCCTGACATCGCAGGCAGTTGGCACTGGAGATGAACACACCTGCAAGGCTCGCAAGCCTGACGAACTCGCCTGATTATTCGAGTGCTGTCCATGTTTCCAGAACCGAGTCCGCGTATGTGTCTCACTTGGTCGCCGTGCTCGGTAATCTAAAAGTACACAGCCTTGCGTTGGGCCCTGTAGGCTGTGAATGGGGGGCCGAGGTCAGAACGTTGGCGCGAGGCATGCATTATCTTCGCAGTGTTGCAAACCCGAGTAAGGCGGGGTATGAGATGTCTGGTTGCTATTTTCTGGTCGAAACAGGGGTGTGAATGAGTAGTTCGCTTGTTGTTTCGTGGCCGATTGTCGGGTGTGGTGCAGTGGTCTTGTGAGATGGAAACCTAAGGCCGAGTGCGGCGGGGGTCCTGGCACTGGGAGTCTTCTGACCAAGATGTGCCAAGGTGTGGCTGTCCTGATTTACTACCTGAAATCTGATAGCTTTGTGCGATATCTTAGCCTGACATCAGAATGATTAGTTTCGAGACGCCGACTTTCGTCCTCTGATCAGGCACTCTTGCCTATTGCAGTTTGCTTACAGCCACCGATTGTTTTATGTATGGTATCGGACAAAGACGAGACACAGCACGAGGCAGCTCGGTGGTGACCACCAACACAAGTGAAGACTCGAGTAACTTGACTTTTCCCAGAGAAAATTCCCTACACTAGATTCGAGCATACATCGCCAGAGACATGCCACGTTATTATTGATCCAGCGAACACGAGAACTCACTTGCGCATATAGCTGTCTTTACATCTCGTATAATGCATACCGTGTACCAGTCAGTGTATGAGCTTGGGAAATGCGTACCTAGCATTACTATGAGGTGCCTTTTATATAATACCCTAAACTTCCGCAGCGAGCTTTGCAAAAGCCTGCTCAAAATCGGCCTTGAGATCTTCAAGCGCTTCTACGCCGATGCTCACACGCAGCAAGTTCCTCGCCACAGTTTTGTCCGTCATGGCACGCCACTCAATTAGACTCTCCACGCCACCCAAGCTCGTTGCATGGTGAAACAGCCGCAGCTTGCTCGGCAGCCGCTTCGCCACGGCCTCGCTCTTCATCGCCAGGGCAAAGACGGGACCGTAGCCGCCAGGCATCTGCCGCCGCAGCCAGCTGCTCTCATCAGCCGCCTCGGGCTGCAGACTCGCGTGCTTGACATGATCGACAACCTTGGCCACGGGCGATTGCGGGTCCTTGACCTGAGCGGCCAGCCAGCCGACAAGGTCCGTGGCCGTCTTGCTCTGACGCAGCACGCGCAGCTCCATGGTGCGCATCGAGCGCAGACCCAACCAGCCCTCCATACTACCCATGACACAGCCCAGGATGGCGCGGTCGTACACCATGGCTGGGTACCAGTCGTCAAAGGGCAGCCGCGGACTGAGGGCGAGCACACCGCACAGCATGTCCGAGTGCCCGCCAAAGTATTTTGTGCCGCTGTGCATGACAAGGTCGGCACCATGCGCAAACGGATCCTGTAGGGGCGGCGGCGCAAAAGTGGCGTCCACCGTCAGGTACGCGCCTACCGCGTGCGCCTTGTCGGCATAGTACTGCAAATCGCGTGCCTCGCCGGTCGGGTTGAGAGGTGTTTCGACATGGATTATGTCGCCGGGCTGTAGCTCGGACGGGTCGCAATCGAGGGGCAGCTTCTGGAGGCCCGTCAGGCGAGATTGGATTCCAATGATGCCGTGGCAGCCGTGGTAGCCGTCACCGATGGCGATGCGTTTTGGATTAATGCGCACGAGCATCATATGAAAGGCTGACAGGCCTGAGGCGTATGTGAGTGCTTTGCCGCCAAGCACGGACGTCAGGATCGCTTCGAGACGGGTGGTGTTCGGGCTGGTATAGCGGGAGTACACGTGTGAGTCCAACGGCGCATCGGGCTGATCGAGCATGGTCAGAGCTGTTGACGGTTCAGGACATCTCGGAGGTTATTCTCACGTTGACATAGACTTCGGGTTCGAGCATCTCTGGGTTGTCATTGTAGCGGAATGTCGTGCTGACGTGCATGGCCGGCGCCACGGCCCGATGCGTAGAGATGCCATCGTCTCCATGAACGAGGCGCGAGGCCAGCGAGAGACCACGATCCTCTTGAACTTGTTCGCTCATTCTAGTGTCTTTAGAGGAAGGGCGCAAGGCCAGCGAGGGGCCGCTATCCTCTTGAGCTTGTTCGCTCATTCTAGTGTGTTTGGAGGAAAAACGTTATCGTTTGCTTGAGATAGCCGAGGGCGTTCTCTCTGATGCGCTAATGACGGGGCGATTGCTGGTGGTCGTACTGAGTTGTAGTAATGACAGTAACAGTAACCATTCATGTCACGGCTAGATAATAAGACAACGCTCGGATGATGGCTTGTCTTATAGTATGCTCCGACGAGGTTCTCCTCATGCTGCTGTTAAAGGGCGCGTTGTACAACATGTCAATGGCTTCTTGGCGGGGCGGTTCGAGCTCGCCATCTCAAGGTACAGTGTCGCGCCCACTCAACTCCACGAAATAAACCCACCCCGAAATAGGGAGCTGGGGATGTAGCGGGGACGTAGCCCGATAGTTACCAACCTAAAGTTGGCGACCCAAGCACCAACTAACCAGTCGTTGGGTACAGATTAGTCCCATGGCATGTTTCAGTGGGGACGGAACTGGTACCGTACAATCCGCTATCGGTGTCATCACAGAGCGCAGGCGGCCATGAAGAATACAAATTGGCAGAAACAACACCCAGGAGCATCACGGGCCGTTGGTAAGGGTTGTGCATGCTGCTAAGACTGGAATTATACTGATAGCTAAAAAATCTGGGTTCGTAAAGCCGCAAGGTCATGTCTCAAAGCAGACAGGTCCGAACTCGTCGAGATTCAATAAAGCATTATACAATTCTCGTGTAAAAACGAGTGCCTATAACATACATGCTTCTAATGTATATGTATTTCGATTCATGTCCTTCATTCATTCATTGCTGCCCCTTGATGATTATGCATTCGAGTAATGATGCGTCCTCCCCTAAAAATGGCATGTAGCCAGCGAGTGAAGCCCCCGAAACGCCGATAAATACCGGGCAATTTTTGCCGAGAAAATAAGTATTAACAGACGAAATGACACCCTTGTGTTCTTTCTTTGCGCACGTCAGCGTTCCTCACTGGTGGCTGGTTTTCTGACATGGTCAACAATGCCCAGCTCGGCACCCTGGCCGCTGTGCCCACGCTTACGACCGCCCATGAGGAATCGTGGTATGCTGGAGGGAGATGAGTCCTTGTCCTGGCCGTCAGTCAATTTGGCAAAGAATCCGCGCTTGCGAGGCTGCTGTTTGCCGTCATCCAGCCCAACGTCCTCGAAGTTCTCTTCGAGCGTAGCAGGCTGTCGCTCAATCTTGCGATGAACGGAGCGCTGCTGGCGTGGAAAGCGGGCAGAGTCTAGGCTCTGACGCACTGGTGCCTCGTTGTGCCTGATGGGAGACCGCGCTGTAATGTCCTGTGATAAAATTAGCTCCAGCACCTTGGGGGCGCCGACTGCAGCCACACCAGTGAGGGCATTGCATACGAAAGAGCGTCTATATGAATCAAAAGATTCTCTGGAAATGGAGAAAGGCTCGATATCACCAGAGCTACTGCGAGTATCTGTTGAGGCGCGTGAAGACAGATGCCTTCTTGGCCAGTGCTGACCTTTTTCTTCGGTCGGGGACGGCTGCAGCATGATTAGCTTCATGCATAGCCATATGCGGAGCAATGCGCCAGGAACGGGAGCGAGTATATGGGGAGGGAATTGCGAGATTTTTTGTGGCAAAGGAGAATACGTACAGGCAGGTAAATACCACTGTCATTCACAACTACGCGACTCAGACTGTCAGTATGAGAAAAATATTTGATTGTTTTGACGAGTATCCGGTCAAGGTCAGGGTGAGGATTCGCAGGCAGAGTGGTACTGGCGGCTGCTCGCGAGGCATGCAGCAAATCATATTGAGCGCAACTGTATTTGAGACAAGATGCGACTGATGCACCGACTGGTTTTGTATAGAACTGCACCTACCACTCATCTTGTATTCGCCAACGTCATGGCTCTTGCTGCTGCGAATGCTCATGGCCGACGAGGCTTTGGAGCCCACCGTGTCCACTCGCTCGAACCCAGGATGGTTGTTCTCCTGCCCGGTGCGCTCAATTTCGTCGGTGAAAGGGATGACAACCTCGGGGCGACGGGCGAATGGGTTTCGGATTGGCATGATGGCGGGCAAATGGTTGGTATGACGTCGATGCGGGTATTTAACAAATTTGTTGAACAGGTTACGAATTCGGCTCAATTGCGTTGAATATGTTTGTGCGTTTCAAGAATCAGAAGAATACCAGACAAAGAAAATTCAAAATTAAGATACGACGAGAATTGATCGTGGGCGAGACTTGTAGTCCGAGAATGCGAAACAGAGTATCATGGCACGAAAGAAGTGCAGCAAGCCCAGTGTTGTTAAAAGATGGGGTCAGACCAGAAAGGCGGGGCCTTGGCAGCTAGCGCAGGCTGATTGTCGACCGTGACTGCTGACTCGTGCTGAGGCCCTCGGCTAGTTTGGTGCGGCGGTGCCTGGCAGTTGGCAAGGTCGTCAAGTCTCCGAGGCCTGACCGAGGTCTACTCTCACACCACGGTCCACATCAAGCAGCTCACTCGAAACATTGCTTTCTGCAAACCTTCATACCCACCTATCAATAATTTGATTTGTAGGATGGTTGTATCAGTAGTGAGTTCTTTCGTTTGCGCCGATCCATGCAATTTTATCGCTGTCGCTATTCCCGGCCTCTCCGATGCAAACTCCCGACGTCCACCTTGTTTGTCCACTTATCCTCCACCATGGTGGCACGTTGTCTCTTCTTTGGCAGTTTGCTACCTAAACCAATTTTGCAAGTCTCCATTCGGAAATCTCTCGGGTAGGCCCCAATGATAAATCTGCCAGCTCTCCATGAGGCCATCGCTGCCATGAACCGACCGACAAGGAACCAGTGCTACTTCGATGCGGAGGCGGGTCTGGCTATGCTGGCATCTGCAGGTGGTTACCTCACCGTGTACAAAAACGCATTTACTACTGTGCCCTCAGCCCCGAATCACATATCATTAGCCGTGCAATCCAACGATGCACACTGTGCAGGCACTTGCTATCGGCGTTTTTCCCAGCACGTCTGCCCCATCGTAATAAGTGGTGTCCTCTGTAATCGTAATCGTACCGGGCCGCTGCATGAACAGAATGCCTGGTGCCACCAAAGAAAATTCCCGAGCAGCATTGGATGGCGATTTGCTCTCTTTATTCCCTTAAACCCACTGTACCTACAAAGAAAACTGGCACAGTTTCACCCTCAAATTCCGGCCGTCATCACGCTCTGGACAATGGTTCGTCAAGCCCTACCTACCTACTTACGTACAGTTGGGTAGCTACCGGAATAACACGAGACAAACAAAGTCATGGGTGCCGACAAAAATCCCCTTGTCGTATCAGAAGCCGTTCAAATATCGCCCAATAGGCAGTATAATGGAGGGCAACAGAAACTCGCTGCCCACGTCGCATGCCACGTTAACATGACCTTTTGCCACGCAAGAATAGTCACCGTATATTCGTGCAACGCCCGCTGCACCCGTCTTTTTATATCATCTCCGTTTGGTGTAACTCCTAGCTTAAAATAAATCACTTCTCGTATTTACTTGTCGTGATTGGGTAGCAGAGATTCCCTTCCGTCTTCCAAACGACGCCCAGCATAAACTGTCTGATCAGTGCGCGGCTCAATACATAGGTAGGCACTCGAGGTGACACAAGCTGTTGAATGCAACTTGTGTCGCGCGCTCTTTCCTCCAGTAATCAAGGAGCCTCATTCAAATTCTTCTGCGCAATATTCCCCGATTTCGTAGTCGGCAATATAGCCAACCCGTCTACCTTGATTTATCCCAGAAGATAGAAGCCGAATTCTTGGACCCCGCGCCGCGATGACGACCTTTTTTGTCGGGTGGGAGCTTTGGCAGCAAATGACCTTTGTTGGTAGTCGATTATGCGTTTTTCTTGCCAACAACTGACCCCTTTTGAAGGTCCTCGCCTGCTTAATCGCGATTGTCTTCATGATCGGCTTCCTCAAACTATGGCGAACAAACCACATCTTACGCCGCTACGAGCTACTCGACCAAGAAAAACGCTCACGACTGGCCGAAATGCAGCAGTACGGCATAGACATACCAGCTATAAACGACATACCTTTCGGTTCCCGAGCGATACAGAGTGGGATAGAAATCGATGAAATATGGATATCTCGACCAAACACCCCGGTCCCAAGTCAGCGCCCGTCATGCGCCACAATAGTTGACGATAGTTCGATAGACGGCAAGCTGGCTCGCAATGAATCCTCATCCGTGCTAAGTGCCCCGGATGCCAGCTGCAGGAAAGGCAAGGCCTTCGCACAGCCTAGCCCAGGAACAAGAATCCTGAAGAGGTCTGCTTTGTCAGAGCAGCACTTCAGCGAGTCGACGACTCTTGATGGGCAAGGCACAGATAATCTGCTTCCTGCGTCGAGATCTGGTGATCCCAGCCGCCCCGAAAGCACGACACAGAGTGAGCCTCTGCGTCGCGCAAGCGGTGCACGACCTGCGAGTGATGTTGGCCCTGTAGTCGCCAAGCGACTGGCCCCAAACCGCAAATCTGAGCCCCTGCCTCATGGCACGGCTGAGGTATTTGCCAACACCCGCACCAGGCGCACTGTTTCGGGCTTCGAAATACTACCGGCTGGATCTCTTGGGGAGCGAGTCGAACTTCACGCCTCGGCCCGTCTCAGTGAAGAGCATCTGAGTCCGAATGAGGAAGCGCGCGCACCGAATAAGCTGCAGAAGCCCAGGCCAAGGCGGCAAAGTTAGACATATGGACAATGTATTCCCTTCTAACGGCTCAAGCTTTGTAGACATAATATCGCGGCCGTCAGTGACTAGATGTAAAGGCTCGTAAGTTTGTGAGTATTGCACCGAATAAATAGCTACAACGGCAACTTGCCTCTCACCATGGACATCTGAGACATTGGGAGTCGGGAGTCGACATAAAAAATAGCGACGAGATCTCCCAACCACTGCCCTCACATTTGTAAAAATATACAACCATTTGCCGAGGATACCCGAGCGCATATCGCTCACAGCAGACCTTGCCAGTTGCCTCTCCACCACTATATCTCATACCATGTCTAATTTTATCAGACACCGAGACTGGATCCAATAAGTTCGACGTGTACGCTATATACCGGCCGCTGATAGCCCAAGATTGTCGATTGAAGTCTTCGCTGGCAGACAAAGCATTCCTGAATCGCACATATCGCACATATCGCGACAAGGACTGGCAAACTTGCTCTGGTTCGGAATATTGCAGTTGTATGTGCAGCTTGCAGGGTGGCAGAAATTCACTAAAATCGCAAAATGAGCAACGAGCATCGTAGACAACATTAGCCGAATAGAACAACCAAGGAGAATTGGCTTTCCATGAGCATCTTTACGCGTAGACATGGGGCCCGTAGTTTCATCGCAGCAGCAATTCTTGCAAGATGCCAATCCTTGGCAAAACACTTTGTGATATCCATTCATCCATCAGGAGTCTGCAGAAATATACATCACTTTTACCTCGTTAGAAGTCGTTTGCACACGTTTTTAGAGTCAAACTTACCGTTGTTGCCGCGCACAAAAGCATCGCCATACTCTCTTCTCTTAACACCGTTCACAAACTCTTGTGTCTTTTCCAGCGCAATATTCATATAGCCATCCACCGACTGGAGTTCACCTGCAAGGGAGTCAGCGCGTGCTTGTAATGTCAACGCTCCGCTACCATCCTAATTTGCCCGATTATGCGAGTCAAATTGCGAGAGGGAAAAAAAAAATCCCATACCCTTGTATACCACGCCCGAATTGAGCTTAACGATGACGGGGTTGCCGATGATATCGCCGAGGAAACTGGAGGGGTCTTTCCCTTCGCCCTGCGCGCCGTTTTCCATAGCTTGATCCTGACGGGGGAAGGCTCTGCAGATGTTGTCGCAATCTTGATGATGTTTGCCGTGAGTTTTGAGCCCTGAGATGTCACAAAGAGCTGTGGCTGAGACGCGGTACGATATCGTAGGTAAGAACTGGAAGACACGGGTTTTTGATTCTGGCCCTCTGTCGCAGAGAAGATGTGGGTTCTAAATATTTAGGTACCGCCAATACGTATTCGCACCAGCCACCCACACAGTTATTGGCACCAGGTACATGGGTACAAGGACCCCGCGTGCTTTCTGTCCCCCCCTTGCGAATTGTTGACGTGAGGATCTAAATCTCTACAAGTCAGCTGTTGATCAAGTCGCAACTCACTTATCATTGAGCTTTCCATTCACAAAGGGGGAAGAAGGAACATTCTCTGACCCATTCTATTACATTGCTAGCTGGCTATGGCTTTCTTCTAGGTTATTTTTCTTCTCATTCTTTTTTCATTTACGACCAGCTTTGTTCATTGCTTTTACCTGCACCAACATCGCGACGACCTGCACCATGGCCGACCTGACCGCGATCCAGAAGAAACTGCCCTTCAAGCCGACAGCGCTACGCAAGGCACGACCGGCGCTCACGCCGAGCACCAGCACCGAGCTTGATGGTCTACAAAACACGACGGGCGCAGGCGATGACAGCGGTGGCGCTCGAGGCGACGAGCAAGATTCGCTTGCGCTTTTCCGCCGCGCCAAGGAGATGGCCCCTATTGTCGAGGCAGACCGCGAGCGCCGTTTGCGCAGACTGCAGCAGAAGCAGAGGGCGCAAGAAGAAGAGCGCAGGAGAGCGTTGGCGGCCAGCAAGCACACGTTGGTCGACGGTGACGATGAAGACGCTGCCCGAACAACGCCACCAATCACAACACGGGAAATGTCAATAACGGACGACGATGTTATAGCCACAGGGGAAGAATTCAGCAGGTAAGCAGATTGCGGTTGGGCACGGACGATGATAATGGCATGGAAACTAATTGCAAGGCTCAGAGAGCTCGTCACACCGCCGCCTTCGAAACGCTCCCGGCGCGATTCCTCGGACGCTGCCAGCAGGCGTAAGGATGTCGACCGCAAGAGCAGCACAGAATCAGCACCCGGCTCACCGACGACGCGTGGAGTGCGCTCTCTGGCCCCCGATCGCTCCATGACGCCTGCTCACTCGAGTCGATCCCTATACAGCAGCGGCGCATCGATGCCGGCGCATGGCGCAGGTTCGCAGACACGCCAAGGCGGCGTGGTGCCTGCAGGATCACAAGTCATTCTGCTCGACTCAGATTCCGAAGCAGACATTGCTGAAGCAGATACTGCTACTTCTTCAGCCGCCAGGCCGTTGAAAATTCTCGATCAATCTCTGACGGAGGATCATGACATGGACATGGACATGTCCGAGGACGACGACGAATTCGCCGAATATGTTCGCAAGGCTCAAGAGCAGCGCGACAAGGATCTTCTTCGAGTTGAGCAAGAGGCTGCCGATGCCTCTCTCTTCGCGCCCACATCACCCACACCGCCGGCCCAGCCCGAAACGGCCTCACCGTTCATCAACATTGTCGTCACGTCCGAAATACCGGACACGCGGCCTTGCCTGGTCAAATTCCGCTTCGACCGCCCGATGCGCCTGGTGCGGGACAACTGGACGGCGCTGCAGCACCGACACAAGGTGCCTCTGCGCGACCTGGTCGACCGCGACGACGACGTGATTCTTACCTGGCGGCGCAAAAAGGTCTACATGACCTCGACGCTCCTGAGCTTGCGTATTCTTCCCAGTGCCACCACGCCAGGGGCTGCTGTGGTGGAGAGAAGCATGAGAGACGGGTTCAACGACACCGGCACGCGCGTGCACATGCAGGCGTGGACGCCCGCGCTTTTTGCGCAGATGGAGCGCGAGGATGAGGCGGCCCGACGACAACGGGAGATGCCGAGCGAGACGGCAGGTGAGGGAGGCGAAGGAAACGATGCAGAAGACGACGAAGAAGAAGAGAAGAGTGCGGCGGCAGCGATGGTGCGGGTTGTGCTTAAATCGAGAGACCGTGAGCCGGTAAAGCTCAAGGTACTGCCCGAGACGACGACAGACTTGCTGGTGGCGGCTTTTCGCGCGCAGAGGGATGTGCCACCAGGGGCAGACGTCGCGCTGTGGTTTGACGGCATGAGGTTGCAAGAGGGCGCGACCATGGAGGATGCGGATATCGACGACATGGATACGATAGAGGTTCATGTGAAATGACACGCTTCTTTTTGCTTTGCACCTATTTGGTCATGTAGCTTTTATTGCTTTTTTTTTCCACTTTTTTTTGTCTTGATCTTTTCTTCTTGGCAAGGGAAGTTGGCAGCAAGCATGCTTTGGTTACTCTACATCGGGATCAGGATAATCGATGCCCACAACAGCATATGACGCGTCAGGCAGTTATTTTTCTTTCAGATATCCATTTTCAATGGCCGGAATGACCATTCGGTTTATGCACATTGTAAAAAGGAGCCAATGTAGAATAGTGAGCCCAAGAAGAGCATCGTCATGTGTTTAAACAACGAAGACAAAAATATGATGACAAGCCCTCGGGCTCAACACATGCTACTATAGCGAGGAAAGGGAATGCAATGTCTTCTCCCGCCCAAGAAGTATGTTATTAGGATTCTGGTCCTCTATATTGCCAGATCTGGCCGGTGTCATCACAACATAAGATGTTTTCCAACGAAAGCCCGGCCAAGTACACATATGACGCCTTGATTGAGGATGGACGATTATGGTATTTGATAGTAATATTATTTAACCATATGACCGAAACAAAACCCTGCCAACAAAAAACGCTTCCATTTCAATTTCTTCTACATTCTCTTGATGCATCTTTAACCAAGCACGACTCGCATAGTCTGCCGAAACGCCCCGCCTCGCCGACGGTGCCCTAGTCGAGGCTCTGAATCTGGACCTTGATGGCGCCGCTCTTGGGGTCGGCCGACGTCTCAAACGCCTTGACGGCATCCTCCAGCGGGAACCTGTGCGTGACGAGCTTGGAGAGATCAATGACACCGCTTCGGAGAAGGCGGATGGCGCGGGGCCAGGTGTTGCTGTAGCGGTACTGCAGCTGGACGTCGACCTCGCGGACCGAGGCGCGCATAAACGGGATGCTAATCTCGTCCTTGCCGACGCCAATGATGAAGACCTTGCCGCCAAACTTGGTCGCCCAGATGGCGGCCGCGATGCTGCTCTCGACGCCCGTGCACTCCATTGTCAGCGCGGGCTCGACGCCGCCAAACGCGTCCACGATGCGCCGGCTCGCCTCCTGCGGCGACAGCCCCGCTTCCACCTTGTGCGTGGTGACGCGCGGGCAAATCTCCCTCGCAAACGCCAGACGGCTCTCGGAAATGTCGGTGACGACGAGGGGGCACGCGCCGGCGGCCGCGACGCACAGTAAGGTGATGAGGCCGATGGGGCCCGCGCCGCAGACGAGCACCGGGTCGCCGAGGCGCGGCGCGGCGCGCTGCACGGCGGCGAGCGACACGCTGAGGGGCTCGAGCATGGCGCCGTCCTCGTAGGACATGTCGCCGATGGGGTGGCACCAGGCCGCCGGGTGGGTGACGTAGCGGCGGAGCAGGCCGTCGACGGGCGGCGTGGAGAGGAAGGCGACGCGCTCGCAGCCGTTGTAGCGGCCCGTCAGGCAGGGCTCGCAGGCGTGGCAGACAATGTTGGGCTCAATGGCGACGCGGTCGCCGACGGAGAGGGTCGTCACGGAAGGGTGCGCGGCAATGACCTCGCCGGCGGACTCGTGTCCGAGGATGTGGTCGCCGGTGACGACCATGGGGCCAATGCAGCCGGCGTGCCAAAAATGCACATCGGAGCTGCAAGGGTTGAGAGAGAGAGAGAGAGAGACTTTGTCAGGATGGTTTTGGGGAGAGATGGAGAGAGTGAGAGAGGGAGATTTTCAAAACGTACCCGCAGATGCCGGTACTGCGAATGGCAATGGTGACCTCGCCTTCCTTGAGGTCGGCGCCGGCCTGGATGCTCTCGACGCTGGGCCCGGCCTTGGCGAGCCAGAGGTGGTGCTCGGGGTTCGTGTAGACGCCAATGTTGGGCTTGAGGCTGGTAGTTCCATTGGTGATGCCATTGGCGGTGCCATTGGCAGAGGGACTCATCTTGCGCAGATGAGTTTTGGGGGTAAGTGGGCGGGAAATGTGGTTGACGTCGACGCCGTGTAAGACGAGGTGAATCGGGGAGTTGAGACGGGCCACTAGACGAGACGAGTGTGTTTATATATGTAGCAACTGTCGTCGAGTCACGATAACAGCCATTTCTTTATCCGTACGAATGGCAAAAGAGAAAAGGAAGAAAAAAAAGAGGGCAGCGCGACAAGTCAACTGAACAAGCTTCAATTCTTGTTCTATTCTACATGTTGTGGGGACGCCAGCCCAGCAGCGGGGGGGAGACGACGCTGCTGCTCTAATAAACTCGGGGAAGTTGGCGCGAGCTGGCCGTGTGGAAAGGGACGAGTGTGGGGGGTACAGACTGCCGCACCAATCACGGAGCGACGGCTCTCGAAATCGCGGGCAAAGAGCCCCGGGCTAGTGACGGTGGTGGACAGAAATCAACTTGGCTTGAGCGGGAACAAAAAAAAAAATGGACGGGATCGGGAGCGGTCATGGAGAAGAGGCAGCATCATCATCATCATCATCTGCTGGCGGGCAGCTGTCCGCGTCCCAAAATGAGCTTAGCTTTGCAGGGCTTGCGGTCAATGAGTGCTGCGATTCTGGCACGTTGCAGGATAAGCGTATGAGAAGGGGAGAGCTTTCTGTGAAATGAGACAATGTCTACAGAGTATAGTCACGGTCGGAATAGCGACCTACGTATAGTCATGACAAGTTAAATAGAGCAGGAGAAGGATGATGAGAGAAAACCCAAGATCTGTATGCATCACCAAGCCCAAGAGACGGCCTTGGCGAGGCGGTGGACCCCCTTGCCATATTTCGGGGACGCTGGCCTCGTCTCCCCGAGCCACTCCATTACAACTACTACCAAACAGTTCAGAGAAGAACAGAAAAAAATCCTCGATTGTGTTTCCCGCAGAGATGAGATGAAAAGTTCAAAACCGGCAAGCCATCTTCTGTTTCAACTTATTCCTTCTTTCATCCTGCTCGAGTCCACGTTTGGAGAGAGTTAGCGCGGGCTGCGAGGATATATACATGCTGGCATGTACAGTGACCCAAACAAAAAGGACCAAGCCGGGACGGACCGGGCGCGCCCGACAAGACGTGAAGATGTCATGTTTGGGGGCGAAGAGTCACTGCATGCACTGCATGAATAATGAAAGAAACATGCATGGGATGTACAGCCATTGTACAAGAAAGAAAAAAAATCACATTTTCATGGGCGACAAATCGCTACAGATGACAACGATGAGAGCGCCACAGTCTTGGCCAATCCAGAAATAGACGCCAAGTGCACGCGGGGAAAGAAAAAATAAATTAAGGATGCCCATAAATCTAACGCTATATTTGGGGTGGACATGTGCAAATGGAAGGACTTGAGCAAAACTGGTCGCCACTACCTTTCTTTGGTTCTTCTGCTGGCTGCGGAGGGGAGAGAGCACAGACGCTCCTGCTTGGTTGTCCCCCATCATTCCGTCTGTGCTGTTTCACTTACTCAAAACGCGACCCCGCGCGTGCCCGCGCTCGTTTTGGGCCCAGCCGTGCTTAGGTATTCTGTTTCGGCGCAGCCTTTTTTCCGGACAGAAAGAAGAAGATGGAAAAGTTGAAAAGAAGCAAAGAGAAAAAAAAAAGCAAAGAAAAGAAGAAGAGAAAAAAGAAAAAAAAATCGCGCGTATGCCTGCCCGTTCCTACTCTCGACTACAGGAACCAATAAAAGGGCTTGATCTTGAATGCAATGGGCCAATGGGAAGCGACAAGTCGTACAGACACTCTTGCAAACATTGTCGAGAAACTTCATTTCGCCATGGCACCACTCAGACCACAAACCACTGTGATACGAGTACATACAGTGTACAACTAGAGTTTCAGAGGGCAAACGGTTCGTTGGTGGATCTACAAAAGCGGAGTCGAGCAACTTGGCGAGATGCAGAGGTTACATTGGACACTAGAAAACACGGGAAAATGGTCAAGTTGGTTCAGCATGTTGTATTGCTATTGGTGGCTACAGTCAAGTCGATTGCTGCCGTGTTGAACCATGTTCCGGTGGTTTGCTCTGCCCTCCAGTTAGATGCTAATTGTACATGGTTCGCCATAAAAAATTTTGCAGCATGGTGTGGTCCAACAACAAAAGACATATTGTGGAAAGGACAGAAGGCTATTCTTGCTCGCAAAAATGAAACGCCGTGTTAATGATGCTTTCAGATCAATCCGGTGGTCGAGTGATTCGAGTACAGTTGGTTGTACGAGTAAGAAAAAAATGTTCCGTTGTTGGCAAGACGAGGAGGTGCCCGTCGCACGCATCCTTTCCTCTCTAGTTCGATAGTGAATCAACATTTGCGAAATGCTGAAAGGATATCCAAGAGAGAGGCCAAGTACCGGACCACAAATCCGCGTCTTGAAAACGTCTTGCTCACGCGGGAACGAGGCCGTAAAGTTTAAATGTTGCGTATATCCCTCTGCGGATCCTAGCTCCCGAGGGAGAGTTGGGCCGCTAGATGTTGGAGCACGCTTCACTCGCCGACCGAGATGACGACGTCGCCTTTGCAGATGCCGTAGGAGCAGCAAGCCGAGGGGTCGAGTTTGCCGTTCAGAATGGCATCGACTTTTTCCTACAGCACGAGTACGTGTTAGAAACCATGGGGCCTAAATGAGCAGGCTCGCAGACAAGACTCACGTCAGGGCAAGGGCCGCCAGGGCCGATGGGGGCGGAGAGGATGGGAGAGGCCAGAACGGCGGCGATGAGAAAAGAAATCGACTTCATTGTGGAAGTGGTGTGTGTATATGGGTATATGCGTCCAAGTTGGACTATCGGTGGTCCTGTTGCCGATGATTGCCAGAGAAATTTCGCGAGGGTTCGTGTATATCAAGGGCGAAACTTGTAGATGAGGTCGGGGGCACAACAAGCAGGTATATCAAGAGCCGAAAGCAATGTCGAGGGAGGTGCCGAGACAATTGTCTTTTTGTATAGTCATAAAAAGCACAGTTGGGCGCGGATGCACAATGCGAAACGTAAGAAGAGCGTCGAGCGTCGGGGTAAAGAGCTGAAGAGGGTGGTGGTGCGCACTGATGGGTTGTATTGGGTGGGCGGGATGACGGTAGGTGCTAGCCGATCGTGCATTCCCAGAGTGAAGGAGGGGGGCCGGTCACGAAGAGGGCGAGCAGAGGAGTTCTTAGTTAATATAGTTAGACAAATAGCTTGCAGGATCTGACATGCGTCAAAAACGCTCTTTTATTTTTATTTTATTTTTTTCGTGTTATATCATATTATTATTCCCTTATATCCAATGTATCGCGCTGGCCCCATCGAAATAGGATTCCGGCGCCGTACTAGGTGTTACGAGGGGCGCTGGAGCGGGCTCGTGTTATGGGCCACCAAGTCATTGGCTATTGGCCAGATGGGCGAAAAGAACACCAAGGTGTGCTAACGGGTGCTGACGGGGCTGCCAGCCGGCCAGGCTATCGGTCCCCTGGCAATCCTGCGCAGGGTGAAAAGGACACTAGCGGTTGAGCAGAAGACATTCTTTACGAGCGCCAGTAGTTAGCCCAATGAAGCCACTGGAAACAGCGCTAAAGCAGCCAGGGAAGGAGAAGAGGTTCATTTAGTGTCTGTAGGGCTCGTTCAGCCCATAAATTGAATTAAAAAGGAACGCTAGTTGGCTTGTTTGGCTGGCAAAAAAGTCTGTGGTGGCTTGAACCACCCCCCGGCCGCCTTGTTCTCTCCACAATGACGCACGGCGTGGGATGATAATGCAAGTACGCCATTCCAGCAGAAGTCACATTTATGATTTGGGCGGGTTTTTTTTCTTGCCCCGGAAACAACCGAGACATGAAAAGGCAAGTCTTGATCCGTACGGATACAACAAGAAGAGAGCAGAGAAAATGGAGAGTTTGTTAGGATCATCCGACTTCTTCTTCTCAACGGGCAGGCCTCCGTTGTAACCGTCGGTAGCCCACTGTGTTCGTAAAGCACCCGCCAGAGCCACCCAGAACCACGCGCGACAGGGGCTCACGGGCGGAAGCCTCCCAGATCGCTGGCCCTACAGCCTAACTAGGTACAGGCTACGGCTGCCTAAATGGGTGCCTAAATGGGTACCTAGGTAGGTACCTTAGTTATAACAATTCTCGGGGTTGGCGCTGCATTTCGCAATTCGCAATTCGGTCGTTTGCGTCCTGCCCACATTGCCAAGCCACCCAGTGGAATTCAATGTCCATCTGGCCATTCTCGATGTCGAAAGAGAAGAAGGGGAAAATTGGTGCACTTGCGATAATTAGGCTTAATAGAGGCAAGAGGCAAAGGAAAAAGGCAGAAAGGGCTTTCAACGGCGTTTGCTCATTATCGCAGCTGCGGGGTTCGTCCTGCAATCTTGTGAAAAATTTTAATATTGACTGCATGCTGTTCCTCTTGTCCAGATAACAAGACGGCACGAGTGAATACAATTTTATCAATTGAGAACTGCTTTTACTGATCCCATTACCAATCGTACCTTTGACGAATTATGGCAACGATAACTCCGTACCGGCGCTCCCACTGGAATGCTCACCTTTTCCCACAAAAACTTTTCTTGTTGGAACCGAGTCGTCTTCCAATATCCACCCTCACGCTCCCGTATCCGGCGTCAAGGGCTACCAGAAGCTCTTTGCCG